TACTATGAAGAGCTGTTCTCAGTTTAAACCAATCACTTTAATGATCTTGCACTTATTGAAACTGTTTTAGATCAGTTTCACTGTCATTTGTTTCCTGCACTTTTTTAGCTCTGTACTTTTAACCTTGTTTATTTACGTACTTGTCTGTTGCACACCGGGGACTTTTGCAAATGTATTCCTATGTGGTTTTACTGCAAATGGCAAATAAAAGACTCTGAATACAATAATAACAGAGCATTGGTGTTATTTAAATGACTTGATCTTCTCAACTTTCCAACACATTTTCAACTTTCGTCCGAACGTAACTTATGTGAGGTTTCAAGTCAGATTCTCGTCTGTTATAACTCCTAACGATACATTTTCTTTAACATGTTCAATTATTGTTTCATCAATAACTATTCTGAATGTAATTTTTCTTCTTCGATTGGCTACAACGGGATCTCTGGAAAAAATGAAAAGACAATGGGAAAAGGAACTCCACAAGACAATGTGTGTGGAAGATTGGTCTAATGCTTTAACGCTGGTAAATGACAGCACATCCTGAAGCTTCATCTGATTCAATTTAAAATTGTCCACAAACTGTACCTTACCAACCACAAACTATGCAAATATGTCTCACATGATATGGTCATGTCCGCATCTCCAGCACGACTGGACCATGATCTTCAGGAAACATCTGAGCGTGTAAATATGATTCTGGATGTGACAGATATCACTGGAGAGGATTTGGAGACAACACTGACAAAGAACATTGTGTAGAAAGAGGCTAAGGCTGGGGATTAGCATTAGTATTTTACAGAATGTGTCAGATCTGAAAACAGTGTTTCTCTGAACCTGCTTTAACCCAGACTGAGGCATAAACCTGACATGTTGGGGCTAATCAACTCCTTTTAGACAAAAAGCAGCCAGTCTTTTGGCTCCTGCTTGACGTTCAGGCCACCCCTCCCATGACTACGCTTTGGTTCATTCTCACCTCATGGGAACCCCCGCAGTGGGAACCATCTACTGAAAGAGGAACTAGACTGGGACCATTTAGAGGAGAACGCTACAAGGTGAGTGTGTCTGAATTCATTGAGAATAACATTTGTCTTACATTGTCTTGGTTGATATGAACTCAGTCTGAATTTCACTGACTACAGGTCCACCAGTGATAGCTTTAACGTTAGCCTGTTTGTGCTTCTACAGTGTTTCCCACAGGTTTGAAGGCAATGTGTGGTGGTCGGCGGCGGGGGGGGGGGGACAATGACATCGTTAATTGGTCAAATACAGCTTTATTGGACTGATCAAAATATCAAACATTATTCACACGCTGTATATTACACTATAAATACTGTTAACGCTGTATAAACCTACTTGTTGCAAAAAATAACATTATTCACACGCTGTATAAACTCTATATTACACTATAAATACTGTTAACGCTGTATAAACCTACTTGTAGCAAAGTTTGCATGTTTTATCAGAGCACCTGATTTTTCGGGGCTGGCGAAAAAAAGATTTTAATGCCATATCATAAGGGAAGTCCTCAGGACAGGGTCCATTGATGGAGATCCTCAAGCAAGCTGCCAGGTGTTCTCCCTGCAGTTTGTTCCTGAGGTCTGTTTTCACCTGGAGATAAAGCAAAATGATAAATTATTATCAATGCAAAATGCACCAATATAAAGACAATGGGAATTTTGTATTGCTATTACCCTGTTCATTGCAGAGAAATCCCGTTCACAGTTCACAGAGGAAACAGGGATAACCAAAGCAATGCTTGCCAAAAGGCTCAGGCAGGGGTAGAGGTTGGCCCACTCATCAAACTCACTTGCCAGTAAACACAAGAGCTCCTCCTGGTTCTTGTTCTTGAAAGATAAGGGTTTGTCGTGGCATTAGTGTGTGTGTGTGTGTGTGTGTGTGTGTGTGTGTCAGGTCAATTCACTGACCTTGAATATAATATTGAATATAATCAATTCTATCTCGTTCTCTCCCTGACCCTGTCTTTCTGCTTGAGCAGCACTGGTTGAAGCCTGAAAATATTGTAAACTTATATAGCTAATTACACTGCGGACTGTTTCAGACCGATACCTCTGGTTCAGGCTGATCCTCATCCTCAACGCGTGTCTTTTTCAATCGCGGAAAATATTGTTCAATACTCATCTGGATTGAAGCAGCAAACATTCAGTGTAAGAGTAAAAAAATGACATAACGTTACTTATAACTTTATTTCTTGCTACAGCTGCTACATAGTGTTTTGACCCCGACAACCCAACTACATACCGCAAACTTGCAACTAATTAACTTAGAAAGCATCATCGCTTGTTAAGGGAGTCGGGACGGAAATTCAACATTGACACTGAACATTCAGCACTTTTTAATGTGTGATTTACAAGATCACGGGATACCAACCTTTAGTGAACTTCACCAGCCGTCTTCTCTGCACCAAAATTAATAGACACAGCTGCTTACAGCGATGATCGCTGATGGAGACGGAGACACGCGGTGTGCACGAAGGGGAGGGGCTGTGTGTGTGTGGGTCTCTGTATGTGGGAGAGACGCGTAGCTTGAGTGAGAGTTACGAAGGGCCGCCACATTTTAAACCCCCCTCCCCGCTGTCAAATTGACCGCTGCGGCGGCACTAGACGATGCATGTTTTAAATAGCGTAACAAAAAAAATATATATATAATAATACGAAACGCAATTTGTGGCGGGCGGTCTCTAATCTGTGGCGGTGCGCCACAGATTAGTCTATGTGTGGGAAACACTGTTCTAGCCTAATCTAGGCCAATTCATTCCAAACAGAACATATTTGTGCTAATGTAGTAGATGAGTTCAAATCCCCTCATTATATCAGACATGTTTGGAAAACCTATGTGTCACCAGCAGCACATGTAACTGCCTGCTAGCATGTTAGCTAGGTCTAGGTTACGCCGTTTTAAAGGTGAGCGGACGGTTAGTAACGGGAGGTATTTTACTGATAATCAAGTAAGTCTTAGTTTGGCTCATCTGATCACTGTTGTATTTGTTACACTGCATATTCTGCTAACCACGGCTAACCCGCGCTAACACAGCTAGCCCGCGCTAACACAGCTAGCCCGTGCTAACACAGCTAGCCCGCGCTAACACAGCTAGCCCGCGCTAACACAGCTAGCCCGCGCTAACACAGCTAGCCCGCGCTAACACAGCCAGCCCGTGCTAACACAGCTAGCCCGTGCTAACACAGGGAATATGTCCCTTCACAGTTAACATCAGTCATGTTCAGTTTTGTATTGGTATAATTCTCGTGATACTAAAAGGTGTATTCTCTGTACAGTGCAGTTGAGATGTATAAGAATGCATTTAGTACAAGACAACATCTACTCATTAGACATGACCCAATTGGCTTTTTTGTATAAGAATGCATTTAGTACAAGACAACATCTACTCATTAGACATGACCCAATTGGCTTTTTTAATGAATAACGGGAGTGCACCCTGAGTCGGACCACTTTCTGGTGGCCTATTTATTCCTGCGTCGGACACACTTTCACCTTTTTGTGGAACTCGTCCTTACTGCCGCTGTTAGCTTTAGCGCTCGCCGCTAATGTTTGGTGGGTACTTTCTACACATGTGTATCTTCCTTCGTGGTAAGTTTTGTCTGTTTATATTGAGATTTCATAGAGTAATCCGCGTTTGAAGGCAGTTTTGATGCTACTACGCGCTCGGACGGCTTAGGCGACGGTCTGTCGTTAGCTTTGGTTTGAAAATAGTTCTGGAAAATCTTCAAAACAGCCTCAGTCCGCATTACGTCATGTTAGCTTCAACTACACAGGCCATTCGGATTTAACATACTGTGACGCTTTCTAGAGGTAAAGTTAAATTTGATGTGAAATGATGGATCTAAAATGATCATTTTCAATATTAATATAACTTATTTTTCTCAACGTCAAATGATTGTTTGTTTATGAGCGAAAAAGCATTGCCCCATTTTCTGTAACAATTATTATTGAGGAGACATGGACAGAAAGGTTGGTAGCACACAGGCTCCAGCTCGTGATGTAAGAAAACATAACATTGACACATGTATCTTGTATTACTTTGAGTGTAAGTTTTAGTGAAGCAATATTACCGATTTTGAATTTGTTATGTGGATAAAAAACTCTGCTACTATAATACTTTCACTTCTGTTGAATTAACAATAATAGGACATGAAGATTAAACTGTGTTTTGTTATTTTTAAGGAAGAAAGAAACGAGGTGGACATCAATCACAATTAATGTTTGAGAAAAGGGTAAATACTTTGAAATGACTGCATACAAAGCACATGCAAGACGGGCACCACCGTCCATGGGACCACAGGTCAGGTATGTTTGATTAGACATATAACTGTACAAGATATTCTTCAAATAAAGGCTCTGCTTATTGAGTTCATTCAAAAGTGTATGAGCCTCTCAATGGTGTTCCGTGCATTGTCGAATGTATTTACAAATTATACATGTTTAAAGCCATTCAAGTAGGACAGCATGCAGGCTCCTTTCTTGTTTATGAATGGAAATACAATAATAGGCTGGTAGGCAATGAGTGTCTATCTCAGAACAGGTACTCCCATATTGCCAGCAGTTTCTGATGGGTTTATAGATTTTTCAAGACCCACAGAATATTGTGTACTATGACTGGAATCCGAAACCAGATTCTGAAAGAATGGACTGTACTTCAGCAGCAAAAAGAATTTTGTTTCTAGCTTGTTTTGTTCTCCTGTAATCCCCAGTCGAGTCAAGTAGAGGGAAGTTTTACTGAAATCACCAAAAAGCTGAGAAAAACGAGGCACAATAAGAGCATCTAGCTGTTTTCAAACAATCCAGAGCGCTGCTGCCACCTGCTGGCTTGATTAAAAAACGCTCTCAAGCGAATCCCCATACATATTAGATATAATAGACATCTGGGAACATGAAAATAGAGAAACGCAATTGCCGTATTAGTGCGTCAATGGCACACAACGAGTTAACCAACAGCAGTCAGGTGAAATTCTGCCACTGTGTGATCAATAAAGTGCTAACTTCTCTATCTCCTCCTTCAGGACTGGAGTCTCAGACATGGCCTTAGTAAGAACAGGGGCAAAGTCCAGACATGACACATGTGCATGTTCCTGAAGAAGCCCGATCATCACAGCTGCAGAAGGTGAGCAAAATGATAAGTGCATCCAGACACAAACTGTAGTTCGTGTCTGGATATAGATGGTTTCAGCGGAGGAGCAAAGACCTGCTGTGTCCATGCCCCTCACAGGGAATTTACACAGTAGGCGTTAACAGCGCGTAAGCGTTTTTTTTTGAAGTATCTACACTGGCCGTGCGCGCAGGTCCGCGGCTTCTGATGCTGTCCTTGAGTAGTCTATGGAGCAGTGTAGAGGACAGTACGGGCCAGAGGACTGATGAGAGAATCACTGTAAAACCTGCTGCTCCTCCTGCTAATGTTTATATACAAGTCATGTGTGTGTGCAGATGCGATCTAGAGCCAAGGGCCGCTAGAAAAATCATGTTAAACATGAGATTTCAATGGGAGACGCGTTGCGCGCACAAAGTTAGAAATCAATCCTAAATTAGAGTATGACAGTAGTAGTGTAAATATCCACATTGGTTAACATGGAAAAAGTTATACGCGTCTGCTGCGTGTATAACGCTTACGTGCTGTAACGCTTGATGTGTAAATTAGCAGTCAGACCTGCCCTGTCCATGTCCCTCAGACCTCCATGTCCCTCAGACCATGTCTTTCGGGGCCAGAATGTCACATTTTGTTTAGGCAAGGCAAGTTTATTTGTATAGCACAATTCACATATTTTTAGAAAGCATCAAAATCATAAATAATCACAGAACATTAAAAAGAAAGATAAGAATATAAAATATAAAATTGCTCAGTTGTATGCACAGTTAAACAGAACTTTAACCTGGTTTTAAAAATGGTCAGAGAGGAGGCCTGTCTCACACTTTCAGGAGGATTGCTCCAGATTTTAGCGGCATGAATCTGAAAAGCAGCCTCCCCATGTTTAGTTCTGACTCTGGGCACTAACAGGAGTCCAGTCCCTGTGCTCCTCAGAGTCCCAGCAGGAGTCCAGTCCCTGTGCTCCTCAGAGTCCGGGCTGGTTCATATGGGACTAACATGTCACTAATATATTTTGGTGCGAGGCTATGGAGAGACTTGTAACAAGCAGAGCTGCTTTAAAGTCTATTCTCTGAGCCACAGGAAGCCAGTGCAGAGACCTGAGGACTGGACTAATGTGGTCGTACTTCCTGGTTCTAGTCAGGACTAATATGGTCGTACTTCCTGGTTCTAGTCAGGACTCGAGCTGCTGCATTTTGAATGTACTGCAGCTGTTTTACAGCCTGTTTGGACAGACCTGTGAGCAGGCCATTGCAGTAGTCTAACCTACTGGACACAAATGCATGGATAAGAATCTCCAAGTCTGCTTTAGACACTATGTTTTTGATCCTGGCAATGTTTTTTAGATGGTAAAAAGCTGCTGATGTTACTGATTTGATGTGGCTATTAACATTTAAGTCTGAGTCCAGTATTACCCCTAGATTTCTGACCTTGTTTGAAGGTTTTAGGGAGAGAGACTGTAGGTGACGCTCTCTCTTTGTTTCTGGGGACCAAAGACAATCATTTCAGTTTTGTCTGCGTTTAGCTGAAGGAAGTTGTTTTGCATCCACTCACTGATCTGTTGGATACAGTGAAGGAGTGAGTCCACTGGTCCATGTTCTCCTGCAGTCAGTGAGACATAGATCTGAGTGTTAGTTTACTATTTGTGTGACAACAAATAATGGAAACTAAGGCTGTTATAAAAAAAAGTTTTACCCATTCTCCATTTGACCCAAGTGATGACTCCTGCTTGGATTGTAGACACATTTTCCTTTCATTCTGCAGTCAATATGGAGTTAGCTGAGACTAAGCCTCTCCTCACATGTTAAAGACTATCGAAGATTCAATAAACCAGTTAATGATCAGTTTCTTATCACAACTATTTTATAAATGATTGACCAATTTAAAAAATCAACTATTTTAGTAATCAATCATTTACAACTTCGTATCTAGACTCTGGCACTGTCACAAGACTAAATGTTAATTATTTAAATAGTTGAAAACTAGTGATAAAACAATATACATATTGACCTGCATGTTGACTGTCTTGATGAGGACAGTGATCCATTTAGTGAGATGTTACTTGATGATTTTGAGTAAATTGGTTTGTATGTCTAACCCATTTTATGACGGATTTTCTTAAACCTACTAGGTGTGAAAGTTTTGATGTTCCGGGGTTTACTTATATTTTACTTATATTTTTCTTATATTTTACTTATATTTTACTTATATTTTTAGTACTTGATATATTTTTAGTACTTGATAGCATGTGTGTGATTGATTTAAGATAATCAAAGGGTGGATTGTTATGGTCAGCTCCCGGCACAAGATATTCTAATCATTTAGGTCGATACATGCGTCTTGTTTCCCAGCGTCTGAAACTGCTTCCCATCACTGTTTGAAACATTAACACAAAGGCTCTCCTGTTCTTCATGGCCTTGCAGGTGCGCTAATCTGCATGGACTCACGTCGCGTTCTTTCTTATCTGTTTCTTCCGCGTCTCCCTGCTTGTCAAGGTCTCTTCACAGCGCTTAATGTATCTCTCCCAAACTTTCCCGTCTGCAGCCGCGTATGACTCATCTCTCTTGTGACGAATGCTCATTGTTCTGTCTGACACACCTCCAGTATAAGATCTTAGACACGCTTGTTGGGCGAACAGACAGACACGGCATCGGTCCAGGTCCCGTTTCCGTCTGGCTCCTTTCTGCGCAGAAATGTCATTTTTGTACTCATCACTTCTGTGAATAAACTGCACAAAAGGACAAGTTTGTTTCCTCTCGGAATTATTTCATTTGAAGCATCAGAATTCCCATAACACCCCCTCTCTCTCTCTCATCTCCCCCTCTCTCTCTCTCATCTCCCCTGATCTCTCTCTCATCTCCCCTGATCTCTCTCTCATCTCCCCTGATCTCTCTCTCATCTCCCCCGCTCTCTCTCATCTCCCCTGATCTCTCTCTCATCTCCCCTGATCTCTCTCTCATCTCCCCTGCTCTCTCTCTCTCATCTCTCCCCACACTCTCTCTCATCACCCCTGCTCTCTCATCTCCCCCGCTCTCTCTCTCATCTCCCCTGATCTCTCTCTCATCCCCCCCCACTCTCTCTCTCATCTCCCCTGATCTCTCTCTCATCTCCCCTGCTCTCTCTCTCATCTCCCCTGATCTCTCTCTCATCTCCCCCGCTCTCTCTCATCTCCCCTGATCTCTCTCTCATCTCCCCTGATCTCTCTCTCATCTCCCCTGCTCTCTCTCTCATCTCCCCTGCTCTCTCTCTCATCTCCCCCACTCTCTCTCATCACCCCTGCTCTCTCTCTCATCTCCCCCGCTCTCTCTCTCATCTCCCCTGATCTCTCTCTCATCCCCCCCCACTCTCTCTCTCATCTCCCCTGATCTCTCTCTCATCTCCCCTGATCTCTCTCTCATCTCCCCTGATCTCTCTCTCATCTCCCCCTCTCTCTCTCTCTCTCATCTCCCCTGATCTCTCTCTCTCATCTCCCCTGATCTCTCTCTCTCATCTCCCCCTCTCTCTCTCTCTCATCTCCCCTGATCTCTCTCTCTCATCTCCCCTGATCTCTCTCTCTCATCTCCCCTGATCTCTCTCGTCTAACACACACAAGACAAAGCTTCTCCAACACGTCACTGTCCCGGTGATTACGGGAGGCATGAAAATAAATAAATATGTGGGAAGCACTTTTAGCGGAGAGTTTAGCGAAGACTTTAGCGGAGGCTGGAGGTCGCGGCGCGGTGCCCTGACGCGAGTTCTCTGCAAATCTAACCTGTCTCTGAACCTCCCAATGACTTGGCCTTACTCTGAGAAACACTGTTCCCACTGCACACTCTGTGTGAGGTGTCTGAAGTGTGTGTTTGGTGCGGTATAACACTCAGCCTGCCTCACAGTGTTTTCGCAGTGTTTTCCGCTCTGATTCAACGCGGTCTTCCTCAAATATTTTGTATGGGAGCATGTTGTTTTTTGGGGCCAGGGAGGTAGTCTGACATGTCTGCCAACTAGTGGCAGGGAGTATGAATGAATTTTGACACTCAGTTGGTCACACTCGGCCGTTTTTAACAGTAGTCGACTTAAGTCGACCGTGGCGCCTAGAGGGTTAAGTTGTTTTTAGAATGATATATTCATGTTTGTTTGGATGATGTCGTTTTGCTGCTCAACACTTTCATTTCTTCTTCATTTTTGATGAGTTTAGATTAACAACAGCCCAGTGGGACTCACCTTGAAGCACATGGGGTAGTTCTCGATCTCTTTGTACATGTTTTTCTCTTTCTGCACCGCAACCGCCGCTTCATCCAGCCTGAAACACACACAAGGAGCGGAGGGTTGTTGAAGAAAAAAGTGGAATATTTACATTATATATATTTTCATTTTATATACATGAGTCTCCAGATTTCAGGTCAGAACTTCAGTAAATCACTACAACTTCTGAACTAATGTCAAGGAAATTCTTTAGTTTTAAAAAGCTGGAAAAGGCTCAGTCCACAGAGTTACAGTCTGAGGATTTGTCAGAGCACGTTTGAAAACAGAGACTTGGAACAGAAGGGGCGGGGGTTAAGTTGCCCCGCTGTGTGTCAACAGTGAGCGAGGAGGCTCCATCTTACTTACAAACACTTCCTCCACAGATCCATCCATCCAGACCGAGGCCCACCTCTCAGTCTACTACCCATCATGCAACTGTTCATCCCGTTCATTCTCCAACTGTTACTTTCCTCTTTCTATCGTCCGAGTCACAACTATCAAACACTTCACAAGCCATTTATTTCAAACACATTCAATTCCCTTCCTTTCACTTTTAGTTTCAAGCATGAAGAGTTTTTCACTAAATATATGAATTATATATGTTTGTGATTAGGTGCTTTGTGAGATGGGTGCAGCTCTGACTGCCACCCCCGACCCAGAAATGGATTAAGGGGAAGCAAATGGGTGGATGGATATTTGATCAGGGACAACAAACAATAAACATTAGTCTTATAAAAAGAAATAAAACAATAAATCAATCACACACACACAGACACACACACAGACAGACAGACACACAGACAGACACAGACAGACACACACACAGACAGACAGACAGGCACACACACACAGACACACACACACACACAGACAGACAGACAGGCACACACAGATACACACACACACAGACAGACACACAGATACACAGACACACACACAGATACACACACACACATACACACACAGACAGACACACAGATACACAGACACACACACAGATACACAGACACACACACAGATACACACACACACACATACACGCACAGACAGACGCACAGATACACAGACACACACACAGATACACACACACATACAGACAGACACACAGACACGCACAGACAGACACACAGATACACACACAGACACACACACACTGGCTGAGTGGATAGCACTCTCGTCTCTCAGCAAGAAGGTCCTGGGTTCGAATCCCGGTTGGACCGGGGCCTTTCTGAGTGGAGTTTGCATGTTCTCCCCGTGTCTGCGTAGGTTTCCTCCGGGTGCTCCGGTTTCCCCTACCACTAAAAATATGTACAATAGGTCTGGCATGTGCCTCCTGTACTGGCCCCACTCCAAAAAATAACAATTGTAAACTGCTTTGAGACTCATGTGCAGTGAAAAGGCGGTATATAAATAAATATTACTTACTTACTACAGACACACACACAGACACAGACAGACAGACAGACACACAAACACACAGACACATTTTCTTCCCCTTAATCCATTTCTGGGTCGGGGGGGTGGCCGGAGATGCCACCCAGTTCACAGAGCACCAGCCCCTCACTGATCCACCTGCAGGTGCTGAGTCCACAGGAGCTGAGATCTTTCAGCGGGGGCTTCAGGCAAAGTGGGGTTAAGTGTCTTGCCCAAGGACACAACGACAGCAGTCATCAGTGGGAGTCGTGAAGTAGGTCTTACGGTGGGCTCGAACCCACGACCTTCAGACTCAAAGGCCAATGCTCTACCAACTGAGCTACTGTCGCCCTACAAACAGACACACACAGACACACACAGACAGACACAAACAGACACACACACACATAATGATGACAGAAGAGAGATGCTGAACACACTGGACCATTAAAGCCTCCGACCAAACACCATCACTTCACTCTCTCATTACATTTACATCTATTGTGCACAGAGAGAACATGCAAACTCCACTCCAAAATCCCGACCGGGATTCGAACCCAGGACCTTCTTGCTGCGAAGCGAGAGGGCTAACCACTCAGCCATCCAGATACGAGTCCTGACGAGTGACCAATCAGAAGCTAATCCCACAGATTTGGGTCCAGATTTAAGCCTTTCATTTCTACACATACACAACATTGACTGAATAATAATAGTTTTTTTGCATTCAAACTGCTGTAAATAAGGCTAAACATTATCAACAGGCCTCATCTGTTCTCTGCTCAAACAATGTTATCGTTTGAAATGGGCGTCGTTGTCCATCCCTAAATGTATGTATGGTTTCTTTGATGGTTCATAATGATTCTTAAAGACAATAAACCGGATCAAAGTGAAGCAGCGTCACCTCTTGAGCCGCACCAGCAGACGGGACGCCTTCCCCAGCAGCTCCACGGCCTGTCGCAGCCGGTCCTCGTTCTGTCGAAACACAACACTTTCAATCCAACAGAGACAATGTTTATGTCCAGACTAAGGATGGAACATTCTAGAAATCAGCTCGGCTCCAGCCCCAACTTTAGCCCCGCCTACATGAGTTTTCAGCGGTAATGTCGGCGAGCCAGGCTGTCTGTCCGTGGGAATTAATGAGAATAAACCGGGAATTTTGAAACATGAAGGTGTTAAGTAGAGGAAAGTATGTTTGTAGTGTAATCTTGACTCAAACAAACAGATGCCGTTCAAACACTTAAATATCCAGGTCCTCCTCCTCTCACAGGCACAGAGCACACTGCTGCTGAGACCACGCCCTCTACTGGCCTTAACCCTCTATCACAGGCACAGAGCACACTGCTGCTGAGACCACGCCCTCTACTGGCCTTAACCCTCCATCACAGGCACAGAGCACACTGCTGCTGAGACCACGCCCTCTACTGGCCTTAACCCTCCATCACAGGCACAGCAGACTTCAACAAAACAGGACCATACAAGTGAGAAGCACAGGACCATTGAAGGCCCATCTGAGCCTGTGTGGACTAAACTAACTTTAATGATATTATGGAAAAAAGCCAGATGTGGCTCTTTTTATGACTGTGTCTCAGACAAACCGTGGTCAGCGTTAGCAGTGAGGAAGTCTAATGTATGGGATTTCTGCAGTAAAAAATCTTATTAAACAAAACAATACATTTTGAGACAAACATCTCACTCTAAAAGTGTTAATCTTGTTTATTCAAGAAATTATACATTTTCACAGTAATAATAAATATGTACGGCTCCCACAGAAAAATACATCTTAAAAAGACAACTCACCCTCAAATCCACTTTTTTTTGCTGATAAACAGTATAAATGAGTGTCCAATAGTGTTGTCTACATATCCTGGTCATAATTTTGTCACTTTGGTGTAAATTAGTTGAAAGTTAAACTTTCTGCCTAAAACCGTCTGTGAGGCGCCATCTGCTGGCGACCTGTATTACTACATTTGAATTTTGAATCTGGCGCCAACACTGGGGCGGCAGCAAGACCTGACGTCTGAAGCAAGACCTGACGTCTGAAGCAAGACCTGACGTCTGAAGCAAGACCTGACGTCTGAAGCAAGACCTGACGTCTGAAGCAAGACCTGACGTCTGAAGCAAGACCTGACGTCTGAAGCAAGACCTGACGTCAGCAGCCCCCCGCCCAGAGCAATGTAAACGGCCCAGTCTCGTTCACGCCCCCTGTAGTCCTCCAGGCTACGCCCATTTAGAGGAAGGGCGTAGCGCGTGACGTAAGCTCCGAGGAGTGGGGGTGAGAACCACTTTAAAGACGCAGACATGATTGACTTTCAGCTAAAAATGTTCCCGACCTCTGATCTCGTAGACAGTGAGCTGATGAGTTAGATGCTAAAGAAGCTAGCGTGTGTGGGATGTTTTGGAGGGAGAGGGGCTTTTTTCATTAAAAAAAATAAATAAATTAAATATTTGCAAAATTTCCAAACTTAACTTTAACTTACCAGATATTTCTGCCCCTGTGAAACCCAAGCAAGACTCACCTCAAAAACCCCAGCTGCTTTCTGATACAAGTCCACGGCCTTCTCCAGGTTTATGGGCTCGATGAGTCTGTAACAAGGACAGAACGTTAGCTCGGAGAAACTAATGTCTCCTTTTCCTGATGGTAGAGGCAAGTTTCTGGGTTTAACTCTGTCTGGAATGGGACAAAAACAGTAATCAGGTCGTTAAGTAAAAATGTCGCCTGTTAACGCCATCGGAACAGATTCCCATATAAGGAAATTAGCTCCTGCTTAAGTTCGCCCTCTTCTACACCCTTGAGGCGCCGGCGTTTACCAATAAGATAAGATAAACCTTTATTAGTCTCACAGTGGAGAAATGTCAGTGTCATCGTTGCACATTACAGCAGAGAAAGGAAATAAGAGCACTCAGATTGCACCCATCAAAGTCTATTATTTAAGATAATAAGACAATAAATTTAAGATAAAATAAAATAAAATAAGAAAATCTGGGCAATAATTGCACTTGGTTCGGAGTATTTACAGATGTCTATATTATACATTAGCAGCGGAGAATATGAGCAGAATAAACATCAGAAATAATATCAACAGGTAAAGTGACTTGAATGGGAGAATGATCAGATGGATATGAATAATACAGTAAGATATCAACAGGTAAAGTGACGGTGGAAGGCAGAATTATCAGATATGAAATAATACAGTAGTACTGATTAGTAGTAGTACCTTCTCTAGTACTGATACACAGAGACGTTTGTGGGAAGCTTAGTTGCTGTATAGAAAGTTATACGCCTAAAAGGATTATGGCTAGCACTATGGTGATGTCACACTCAGTCGGTCCGCTGTGGGCGTGGCCTTACTTGCCGGCCCGGTCCAGAGCCATGGCAGCGGTGTCTGGGGTGCCGTTCTCCATGTACATCATACAGGCCTTCTCGATGTACTGAATGGCCTCGGGCATCTTCTTTTGTTCCTGGAGACAATAGGAGCTCACGTTACCTCACGGCCTGGATTTAAACACACAACAGGGACACACAACACGGACACACAACTCGGACACACACTCACCTTCAGCATCATGCCAGCCTGCTCTATTGCCCTGCGAAGAGGAAGAGGGAGAACAAGCATGAAGATTTGAGTGAAAAAGAGTCAACATTTTTATGGCAGTATCTTAAACAGTGTTTTCAAGATCAAACGTCAGTAAGGATTTAAACATGTGTGTACAGGGATGTCTAAAAAGCTGAGGCCCCTAACTTTAAAGAGCCATGAGTCATGTCAGACCACAACAGGCTGTAGATAGATATTAGATATTACAGAGGCCAAAAATACGTGTATGTGAAAACTAGAGATAGAGGAAAACTGGTTTGGGCAGTCCTGGGTCTACAGCCTCAGTCCTGGGTCTACAGCATCAGTCCTGGGTCTACAGCCTCAGTCCTGGACCTACAGCCTCAGTCCTGGGTCTACAGCCTCAGTCCTGGGTCTACAGCCTCAGTCCTGGGTCTACAGCCTCAGTCCTGGGTCTACAGCCTCAGTCCTGGGTCTACAGTCTCAGTCCTGGGTCTACAGCCTCAGTCCTGGATCTACAGCAGTCCTGGATCTACAGCCCCAGTCCTGGATCTAAAGCCTCAGTCCTGGATCTACAGCCTCAGTCCTGGACCTACAGCCTCAGTCCTGGACCTACAGCCTCAGTCCTGGATCTACAGCCTCAGTCCTGGGTCTACAGCCTCAGTCCCGGGTCTACAGCCTCAGTCCTGGGTCTACGGCCTCAGTCCTGGGTCTACGGCCTCAGTCCTGGGTCTACGGCCTCAGTCCTGGGTCTACGGCCTCAGTCCTGGGTCTACGGCCTCAGTCCTGGGTCTACGGCCTCAGTCCTGGGTCTACGGCCTCAGTCCTGGGTCTACGGCCTCAGTCCTGGGTCTACGGCCTCAGTCCTGGGTCTACGGCCTCAGTCCTGGACCTACAGCCTCAGTCCTGGACCTACAGCCTCAGTCCTGGATCTACAGCCTCAGTCCTGGATCTACAGCCTCAGTCCTGGATCTACAGCCCCAGTCCTGGATCTAAAGCCTCAGTCCTGGATCTACAGCCTCAGTCCTGGACCTACAGCCTCAGTCCTGCATCTATAGCCTCAGTCCTGGAGCTACAGCCTCAGTCCTGGGTCTACAGCCTCAGTCCTGGGTCTGCAGCCTCAGTCCTGGGTCTGCAGCCTCAGTCCTGGATCTACAGCCTCAGTCCTGGGTCTACAGCCTCAGTCCTGGATCTATAGCCTCAGTCCTGGATCTACAGCCTCAGTCCTGGGTCTACAGCCTCAGTCCTGGGTCTGCAGCCTCAGTCCTGGACCTACAGCCTCAGTCCTGGATCTGCAGCCTCAGTCCTGGACCTACAGCCTCAGTCCTGGGTCTACAGCCTCAGTCCTGGGTCTACAGCCTCAGTCCTGGGTCTACAGCCTCAGTCCTGGGTCTACAGCCTCAGTCCTGGACCTACAGCCTCAGTCCTGGATCTGCAGCCTCAGTCCTGGACCTACAGCCTCAGTCCTGGGTCTACAGCCTCAGTCCTGGGTCTGCAGCCTCAGTCCTGGGTCTACAGCCTCAGTCCTGGGTCTACAGCCTCAGTCCTGGGTCTACAGCCTCAGCAGATCCGCTCAGGCTGTGAACAAGGATCCATTTAAATGTTTTTGAAGTTTGATGTGAATTACTGCAACTTCTAGGCTGCTTTGTAAATGTATTCTGTTTAATTCTGGACGACATAATACATAGAAAACACTTACTTTGCTGCATGGAAGAGTCTGTGAAGTGATTAAAGGAAACCACTCTCAAATGTACAAACACTACAGTGTACTGTTACATGAAAAAGTACAGGCACCGAGACTGTTTACAGCTGAGTGCACAGAGGCTGGGATCAGGATCAGCTCCAAATCTAAGGCCATGGAGCTCGACCGGACTCAGGAGCCTCCCCAGGAGCCTCCCCAGGAGCAGAGGGGTCTCCTCCAGGAGTAGAGGGGCCTCCTCCAGGAGTAGAGGGGCCTCCTCCAGGAGCAGAGGTCATTCCTCAAGTGGAGGAAGAAGAGGGAGAAGCGTCTGCAGTCAGAGCTGTATCACACTACTGCGGTGAAAAGAGAGCAGAGTCAAAAGGCAAAACTCTGTTTTTACAGCTCTGTCTCCATCCCCTCCCTCACCTAAGTAGTAGTAGTAGTAGTAGTAATTAATCTTTATTTATATACCGCCTTTTCACTGCAGATCTGAGTCTCAAAGCGGTTTACAATTGTTAATTTTGGGCATTTGTCTCTCACTCCACACAGAGATGGGAGCGGGGCCAGTACAGGAGGCGCATGCCAGACCTATTGTACATATTTTTAGTGGTAGGGGAAACCGGAGTACCCGGAGGAAACCTACGCAGACACGGGGAGAACATGCAAACTCCACTCAGAAAGGCCCTGGTCCGACTGGGATTCGAACCCAGGACCTTCTTGCTGAGAGGCGAGAATGCTATCCACTCAGCCACCGTGCCGCAGTGTCTGCAGTCAGAGCTCTGCGCTTCCATCCTCATCTCTGGTCATGAGTTTTGGGTAATCACCAAAGAGATCACGGAAACAAGCTCCATGGGTTTCATCTGCAGAGTGGGGCTCCCTAAGAGATGGAGTGAGGAGCTCAATCCCACATGAGGAGCTCAGAGTAGAGTTGCTGCTCCTCCACATGGAGAGAAGCCAGTTGAGGTGGCTCTGTTTGGGATGCCCCCTAGACGCCTCTCTGGGGAGGTGTCCCGGAAATGTCCCATTAAGGACACCAGAGGAAGACCCAGGACACAGAGGGACTGTGTCTCTCGGCTGGCCTGGGAACACCTCAGGATTCCCCCAGATGAGCTGGAGGAGGTGTGTGCGGAGAGGGAAGTCTGGGCCTCTCTGCTTAGACTGCTGCCCACACAACCCGGCAACAGATAAAGCAGAAGAAAATGGATGGATGGATGTTACGTGAGTGTGATAAAGGATACGTCTTGTTCTCTGTGTGGTACTCTGCTTCCTTCAGGTAAGCATCTTTCGCCTGCTCGTACTGCTTGGCGTTCTTGAAGCAAACAGCTGCAATCACACACGCACACGTACACGTACAATGAGGAACTTAGAAAACACTCATGTCTCTCGTACACGCTGCAAAGTACCTGCTTTTGAGTATTCCGACGCAGCACTGTCAAAATCAGGCTTCCATTTGGTTAGACTGGTTTTTAGGCTGCAAATGGAAAAGACATGCTTCATTACTTGTGTCGCAGGAGAATAAAGTATATATTAGCATGTTGGACTATTAGCACGAGCAGAAATATCAAATTTAAAGCAAAAAACAACAATAGTATTCCTCAAATGTCTCATAACCTCTGTTGAAAAAGGCCTTTAGCTCGCAGTGACAGTACATTACATGGATGAGCTGCGGAGAGGAAATATCTCAGGAAAAGTACCATTTTTCGGCCTTTGCGATGTGCTCATGGGCTTCGTTGATCTTCTGCGCAGCCATCGCGGTGACTGCTGACGATTAACCGCGTGAGAGAAGTCGAAAAAAGGCGAAAATGTTAGATTTGATTTTGACGATGTTTTGGATTAGCACGAAACTCCACCCACAATCTGACGTCACGGCTGTCGCAGACTACGGCAGCCTGCGACGGACAAAACGCGGAAAGACGTTAGCTAATGTTTGATGGTTTGTGTCTAATCGTTTATTTATTTTCATGTTATGATTTGTTTGATTGATATGTTTGAATTTAATCATCTCTATCTTTATGCTTTTATTTTTCTATATTTTTTTAAAATTATTATTATGATATTATAAGTAAAATACTAAAATAAGTATTTTTGATGGACAAAACACTGGAACTCACAGGCGCTATGTTCAAGGCCTGGCTTAAAACAGTCCTCTTTAATCTAGAATATGGTCAGGTAAGACTCTGTTCAGTACATTGAATTAAATTGAATTGATTTGATGCTTTTAGGTTTATAAGTGTAAATACATTTTTGGACTTCATAATGTGACCTTTTCAGAATCAGAATCAGAATCAGAATCATTTTTATTGCCACGTAAGTAACAGGAGGTCACAGACTTGGAAATTGCTTTGGCTCAGTGCAACAGTCAAAAAGAGATAATAAAAATAAGAATAAAAAACACTTCTAAAGAATAAATTTAAATTTAAAATAGAGTTACAGTTACTATTTACAATATCCAAGTGCACATGGTGCACACAATGTAAGGTGACAGCAGTACAGTGAAGTAAAGTGACGTATGATGGGCAGTAAAGTGACTTTATAAAGGGCGGGGGGACAGGTTAAGAAGTGTTTTCTGTTTTATGTGTAGTTTATTACTCTACCATTCTTTTTTATGAAGTTATATATTATTTAATGTGAGAAGTTCTACCTTTAACTCCATTAATTTGAATGTAAAATTAAAACTTAGCCATTTTTCGTCAAACAGGGTGTACATTTCTCCTGTGTGAGATCAATAAAGTCTATCTCATCTTAAGTGGTTAGCCATGCTTCTAGGTTCATAAGTACTGGGTTAGAGTGGTTAGCCATGCTTCTAAGTTCATAAGTACTGGGTTAGAGTGGTTAGTCATGCTTCTAAGTTCATAAGTACTGGGTTAGAGTGGTTAGTCATGCTTCTAAGTTCATAAGTACTGGGTTAGAGTGGTTAGTCATGCTTCTAAGTTCATAAGTACTGGGTTAGAGTGGTTAGCCATGCTTCTAAGTTCATAAGTACTGGGTTAGAGTGGTTAGTCATGCTTCTAAGTTCATAAGTACTGGGTTAGAGTGGTTAGTCATGCTTCTAAGTTCATAAGTACTGGGTTAGAGTGGTTAGTCATGCTTCTAAGTTCATAAGTACTGGGTTAGAGTGGTTAGTCATGCTTCTAAGTTCATAAGTACTGGGTTAGAGTGGTTAGTCATGCTTCTAGGTTCATAAGTACTGGGTTAGAGTGGTTAGTCATGCTTCTAAGTTCATAAGTACTGGGTTAGAGTGGTTAGTCATGCTTCTAAGTTCATAAGTACTGGGTTAGAGTGGTTAGTCATGCTTCTAGGTTCATAAGTACTGGGTTAGAGTGGTTAGTCATGCTTCTAGGTTCATAAGTACTGGGTTAGAGTGGTTAGTCATGCTTCTAAGTTCATAAACGCAGGGTTCAAGAGAGTCAACCCAATGTTTACTTGCAGTATTCAACAAGCTGTTCTTACCGTATTTCCAGTTAAATTCACCAGTTTTAGCACAAACTCTATGAATTACTAACTTTTTTTTCTCTTTTACCAGCTCCTACTCAAATCAATGGAATCCCGAAAAAATCCCCCCAAAAACGTTTAGTTTTTCACCAGTTTTATTGAAAGTAGGTAATCTATAGTTTTTTTTAACCGTTATTCATATAAGTGCTAAAACTGGTGAATATAACTTGCTAAACAGCAAAAAAATAAGTTTGTCGACAGACTACCGAAACAGTGTGTTGCCATGGTAACTAGCACTTGCTATCTCAAAAATAGAAGAATAATTAAACTATATATAGATACAGAAAAGTAACAAATGTAAGAAGATCATAAAGGTATATACGTTGGGTAGTCCAAAATTAAAACCTGTCAAATTGACTGCTCTGGGAGTTCTGATGTTAAAAGTTTTAGATCCATGGTTAAAAGACATGTGTTTGTCATCTGTCCGGAAGCGGAAGTGGTTTATAACTTGCTCGGTGACGTCATGGAGTAATGGCTGATCAACAAGCTTCTGCGTGCGTCAAACTTCACAAACTTCTCCACAACAAGATCCGCCGCGGGAGTTATCTGCTGTAACGTAATCCACCGGGACCGTACCCGCCGGGACCGTACCCGTATGTGTGTCCGAGAGCGCGGCTGCTGATGGACCACAGATACGACATCGCGCGGAGGGCAGCGGGCGGCTCTGGAAGCTCGTCCCCGGGGGCAGGAGCCCAGTCCCGCCGCAGGAAGGTGCCCCCCAGACCCGCCGACTTCAAACTGCAGATCATCATCATCGGGGCCCGGGGAGTCGGTAAAACCAGCCTCATGGAGCGATTCACCGACGACACGTTCTGTGAAGCCTGCAAGTCCACTGTGGGTGAGCGAACACACTTTGTTTTGGGGGAACTTTACCGCATGGATCATAAAGGCAAGTTTATCTGTATAGAACAAGCTGGGCTACTCCACGTGCTTAACAAAACTCAACAAATCAAAGCACATGAAGGAGTAATGTTGTGTGCGCAGGTAATCAGAGTTGGATTTTAACATTGTCAGAGAAGAAGCCTGTCCCACATTTTCAGGAAGACTGTTGCCGCATGAATATGACTTGCTGCATCCCCATGTTTAGTCCTGACTTCTGGCACCAGCTGGAGGCCAGTCCCTTGTAACAATCATGCTGCTTTGTACATAAGGTGCAGACAAGTCCAAACTCAGGCCCGTGGGCAAATTGCGGCCCTCTGTGTCATATAATGCGGTCCTCTCCCGTGCTTACTTAAACTGGTCTGTGACATCATAAACACAAGTTCACAGTTTCATCCAGCTAACTTCAGATCCATAATCCCAATAAGAACAGAGCCTCTCTGAGTGGAGTTTGGAGTTGCATGTTCTCCCCGTGTCTGTAGTTTTGCTCCAGGTGCTCCGGTTTACACTACCACAACATGTAGCATGGGAAAAATCCTCCAGCTCTGGTCCTGACCGAGAGCATCAACATTAGTCCCTGTGTCTGGGTCGATGCAGAGACAAAATAAAGTATAACTCATAACTATTTTTTCAATTCATTTGATTTTTGACCTGATGACCTTCTAATGTGTAGACTCTAATGTACACTGTTGTACAATGTGCAGTGTTGTGTGTAAACATTGTGTGTGTGTTTGTGTGTGTGTGTAAACAGTGTGTGTGCGCTCAGGCCTGAAATAGTGCGGCAGCTGCTGAGCTGTCATTCCTGAGTCACTCTGAGCTCTCTCCCAGTGCGCTACGGAAATAAAACAGCTTCTACTTATAGGCAATAGTAATATATGTGTGTGTTGTTGTTGTATAGATTTTCCAGTAAATTCACCAAAACCAATGATTACAAATTAATTTAAATGTGGTAATCAATGATCATGTCTCAATAGCTCAGTTTCCACCAGCCCTACTCAGCCAGTTACTCTACTCTAGTCTAGTCTAGTCTAGTCTAATCTACCCGCTTATGTGTTTCCATTATGCTTAGAATCTAGTCCTGTATCCTAGCAACCTACTCACAACCAACCAGTATCAGGGGAAATTCCTTGGTAGCCACGGCTTCCCGCTGCATTCTGGCAGATCACTGTCAGTTAGAACACTTTAGTACCAGCTCGGTCTGGGTAGAGTAGAGTAGAGTAGGGTAGGGTAGGGTAGGGTAGAGTAGAGTAGAGTACTAAACCTTCTCTATTCAATGTTTAAACAGGTTGTATAGATGATATTATGAAAACCATAATAGCCTGAATACAGATGGCCAACGCTAACCCGCTAGTTCAATGAAGCCCAAAAGGGAAGTGCTCATAGGCAAAGTTTTGCTTTAACTCGCTCTGGCGCCTATTGACTTACATAGGAAAGTAAATAATTCTATCTCAGTAACTGTTTGTGTCAAAATTCAGACGAGGATTGACCTGAAGTCTGCCTCTTCCACATTAAGGCTCTCACTATAGTGACGTCACACTGGGTCAGTCCACTGCACATACACGGTGTATGATGAAAACACTGGATCATTGTGAATCAGATGTCCCGGGGCCACATTTACTTTTACCTGATAACCACAGAGGAAAGAACACTGCAAAAAAATCATGTGTTTTATCTTGCGTACATTTGGACCAGTGAACCAACGGAACAAGCTGAAATATCTTTATCTTTGAATCCAAATCTAGAAATGTCGTCTGTGGACTGAGAAAGCACTTGAAATCGGATTAGAAGACTACAGTCAGAATGTGCTCAAACTAAGATAAAAACACGTGATTGAAGCATTTATTATCTTTTATCTTTTTCTGTTGTGAATGCTCGATTTCATTCTCTTTCTGTCACAGGAGTGGACTTCAAAATCAAGACTGTGGAACTGAGAGGGAAGAAGATCCGGCTGCAGATCTGGTGAGTCCCTGTTCCTCTGTACGGGGCAGGACTGGGATTTATTTATCAACATTCAGCACAGACAAAGAACCACAACTTTGTTTGAACTCTGGACTGTAGAGACTCTGGAGACTGTAGAGACTCTGGAGACTGTAGAGACTCTGGAGACTGTAGAGACTCTGGAGACTGTAGAGACTCTGGAGACTGTAGAGACTCTGGAGACTGTAGAACTCTGGAGACTGTAGAACTCTGGAGACTGTAGAACTCTGGAGACTGTAGAACTCTGGAGACTGTAGAGACTCTGGAGACTGTAGAGACTCTGGAGACTGTAGAGACTCTGGAGACTGTAGAACTCTGGAGACTGTAGAGACTCTGGAGACTGTAGAGACTCTGGAGACTGTAGAACTCTGGAGACTGTAGAACTCTGGAGACTGTAGAGACTCTGGAGACTGTAGAGACTCTGGAGACTGTAGAACTCTGGAGACTGTAGAACTCTGGAGACTGTAGAACTTTGGAGACTGTAGAACTTTGGAGACTGTAGAGACTCTGGAGACTGTAGAGACTCTGGAGACTGTAGAGACTCTGGAGATTGTAGAACTCTGGAGACTGTAGAGACTCTGGAGACTGTAGAACTCTGGAGACTGTAGAACTCTGGAGACTGTAGAGACTCTGGAGACTGTAGAACTCTGGAGACTGTAGAACTCTGGAGACTGTAGAACTCTGGAGACTGTAGAACTCTGGAGACTGTAGAACTCTGGAGACTGTAGAGACTCTGGAGACTGTAGAACTCTGGAGACTGTAGAACTCTGGAGACTGTAGAACTCTGGAGACTGTAGAACTCTGGAGACTGTAGAACTCTGGAGACTGTAGAACTCTGGAGACTGTAGAACTCTGGAGACTGTATAACTCTGGAGACTGTAGAACTCTGGAGACTGTAGAGACTCTGGAGACTGTAGAGACTCTGGAGACTGTAGAACTCTGGAGACTGTAGAGACTCTGGAGACTGTAGAGACTGTAGAGACTCTGGAGACTGTAGAACTCTGGAGACTGTAGAACTCTGGAGACTGTAGAACTCTGGAGACTGTAGAACTCTGGAGACTGTAGAGACTCTGGAGACTGTAGAACTCTGGATACTGTAGAACTCTGGAGACTGTAGAACTTTGGAGACTGTAGAACTCTGGAGACTGTAGAGACTCTGGAGACTGTAGAGACTCTGGAGACTGTAGAGACTCTGGAGACTGTAGAGACTCTGGAGATTTTAGAACTCTGGAGACTGTAGAGACTCTGGAGACTGTAGAACTCTGGAGACTGTAGAACTCTGGAGACTGTAGAGACTCTGGAGACTGTAGAACTCTGGAGACTGTAGAGACTCTGGAGACTGTAGAGACTCTGGAGACTGTAGAGACTCTGGAGACTGTAGAGACTCTGGAGACTGTAGAACTTTGGAGACTGTAGAACTCTGGAGACTGTAGAACTCTGGAGACTGTAGAGACTCTGGAGACTGTAGAGACTGTGGAGACTCTGGAGACTGTAGAGACTCTGGAGACTGTAGAGACTCTGGAGACTGTAGAACTCTAGAGACTGTAGAACTCTAGAGACTGTAGAACTCTGGAGACTCTGGAGACTGTAGAGACTCTGGAGACTGTAGAGACTCTGGAGACTGTAGAACTCTAGAGACTGTAGAACTCTGGAGACTGTAGAACTCTGGAGACTGTAGAGACTCTGGAGACTGTAGAGACTCTGGAGACTGTAGAGACTCTGGAGACTGTAGAACTCTGGAGACTGTAGAACTCTGGAGACTGTAGAACTCTGGAGACTGTAGAACTCTGGAGACTGTAGAACTCTAACTGTTTGTAAATAAAACAGAAGAGCAGAAATGATCTGTGACTTGAATAATGCATTAATCACGTTACAAAAACATCCAGATCCAAATGTTGGGACTAGATTCAGTCTAAAATGGCGTTTATCATTTACTGTTCATTTATCGTTAATTTCTTCTCCATTCTTCTGCCATAACACAGACGTAGAGAGAGATCAGTGTGTTTGCTCTGTGTCCAACAGCCTCCTCTGGAGCAGGGGCCTCCAACAGCACTGTTGTTATTATTATTATTATTAACAGCACTATTATTATTATTATTATTATTATTAACAGCACTGTTATTATTATTATTAACAGCACTGTTATTATTATTATTAACAGCACTGTTATTATTATTATTATTATTAACAGCACTGTTATTATTATTATTATTATTATTATTAACAGCACTGTTATTATTATTATTATTATTAACAGCACTGTTATTATTATTATTATTATTAACAGCACTGTTATATTATTATTATTATTAACAGCACTGTTATTATTTTATTATTAACAGCACTGTTATTATTATTATTATTATTATTATTAACAGTACTGTTATTATTATTTTATTATTAACAGCACTGTTATTATTATTATTATTAATACACAATAGTTGTAGGCATGTATTTATATACTGTATATGTATGTATGTATGTATGTATATGATATATATAACTAACTAACTTTCCACATATAATTTATAAAGATTATTTGAAATTATTTGGAACTGCAGTTGGAGGCCACTTCTTCTGTTTCCCTCTTCCTCCTGCTACAGTCTCCTCCTGCTACAGTCTCCTCCTGCTACAGTCTCCTCCTCCTCCTGCTACAGTCTCCTCCTGCTACAGTCTCCTCCTGCTACAGTCTCCTCCTGCTACAGTCTCCTCCTCCTGCTACAGTCTCCTCCTGCTACAGTCTCCTCCTGCTACAGTCTCCTCCTGCTACAGTCTCCTCCTCCTGCTACAGTCTCCTCCTGCTACAGTCTCCTCCTCCTCCTGCTACAGTCTCCTCCTGCTACAGTCTCCTCCTGCTACAGTATCCTCCTCCTCCTGCTACAGTCTCCTCCTGCTACAGTCTCCTCCTGCTACAGTCTCCTCCTCCTGCTACAGTCTCCTCCTGCTACAGTCTCCTCCTGCTACATTCTCCTCCTCCTGCTACAGTCTCCTCCTGCTACAGTCTCCTCCTCCTGCTACAGTCTCCTCCTCCTGCTACAGTCTCTCATCCTCCTGTACCGCTGAGAGTCTGTACCGCTGAGAGTCTGTACCGCTGAGTCTCTGTACCGCTGTGAGTCTGTACCGCTGAGTCTGTACTGCTGAGAGTCTGTACCGCTGTGAGTCTGTACCGCTGAGAGTCTGTACCGCTGAGAGTCTGTACCGCTGAGAGTCTGTACCGCTGAGTCTCTGTACCGCTGTGAGTCTGTACCGCTGTGAGTCTGTACCGCTGTGAGTCTGTACCGCTGTGAGTCTGTACCGCTGAGAGTCTGTACCGCTGTGAGTCTGTACCGCTGTGAGTCTGTACCGCTGAGAGTCTGTACCGCTGTGAGTCTGTACCGCTGTGAGTCTGTACCGCTGAGAGTCTGTACCGCTGAGTCTCTGTACCGCTGTGAGTCTGTACCGCTGAGAGTCTGTACCGCTGAGAGTCTGTACCGCTGAGTCTCTGTACCGCTGTGAGTCTGTACCGCTGTGAGTCTGTACCGCTGTGAGTCTGTACCGCTGTGAGTCTGTACCGCTGAGAGTCTGTACCGCTGAGAGTCTGTACCGCTGAGAGTCTGTACCGCTGAGAGTCTGTACCGCTGAGTCTGTACCGCTGAGTCTGTACCGCTGTTTCTTTCATAATCAACCGGTAAAGAAAGTCTGTTTGATATGTTTTGCTAAATCGACTTTTAAAAAACCCCATATTGGTCGTTCCGTCTCCATCAGAATCCTCTCTAACTCAAACTCCCAGAACCTTACGGACCATAAGGTGCTGCGATGTGGCCAATGTATGTCTGTAGTTTGTTCTGTCAGTGTGCCCCAGGGCAGCTGTGGCTACAGCAGTAGTTTATCAGCACTGTGTTTAGAGAGAAAGAATAATGCCGTGATGCAGCTGAGTGTCTAATAAAACTCTTAATAAAACAAATGTTATTCTGAAAACACCTATTCATTATTCTGTGTGTGTGTCTGTATGTGTGTGTGTGTGTGTGTGTGTGTTACCTCATGCATTTTCTGTGTGTGTTTCTGTCTGTGTGTCTCTGTGTGTGTGTGTGTGTGTTTCCTCATGCCTGTTTCTGTGTGTGTTTCTCTGTATGTCTGTGTTTCTGTGTGTGTGTGTGTCTTTCTGCCTGTGTTTGTTTGTGTGTGTTTCTGTATGTGTGTTTCTCTGCCTGTATGTATGTGTCTCTGTGTGTATGTATGTCTGTGTGTCTCTGTGTGTATGTATGTCTGTGTGTTTGTGTGTGTGTATGTGTGTGTTTCTATATGTGTGTATGTCTGTGTGTGTATTTTTGTGTGTGTATGTTTGTGTGTGTGTGTGTCTCTGTATGTATGTCTGTGTGTGTGTGTGTGTGTGTGTGTGTGTGTGTGTTTCTGCCTGTGTGTGTGTGTCTCTGTATGTAATGTCTGTGTGTGTGTTTCTGCCTGTGTGTGTTGCAGGGACACAGCGGGGCAGGAGCGCTTCAACAGCATCACGTCTGCGTACTACAGAGGGGCCAAAGGGATCGTCATCGTGTACGACATCACCAAACACGAGACCTTCGAGGACCTCGCCAAATGGATGAAGATGATCGACAAGGTCCTCCCCCAGAGTGTGACATCACCCCCGTGCTAGCTTTACGCACAAGAGGCCGATTGGAACATAAGCTCGCTGGAGCCAAAGTCCTTATATGGGCATACACAGACTATATTGAAATACAAACAGGATCAGAGACAGTTACTGAGCGACAGGAGTTTAGCCAGAGCGAGATGGAGCAAAACTCTGTCCATGAGCACTTCCCTAAATTGGGCTTGCTTGAACTGGAGGGTTAGCATTGCCCATTTATGTACAGTCTATGGTTCAAACGAGGGGTAATTGTATAAGAAAGGTTAGTTTAGTTGCCCCTTTTTATATACATCTGTACACCATGAATTCTGGTTTATGAGCCACTTTTTCCCCGCCCTTTGAACGTTGTAGCTTACTTATTTTTTGTGTGGCCCCAATAACATTTTGCCGAGTCGTTCAGAGTTCCAATTTAATGGTTATGTCATTTGTTACTACTACTACTACTACCTCTTTATCATGGAAAATACTAGAAGAAAAACATATGATGATCCGTGAATTACAAATACAAACGTACGGTATTTTAAAACATTACAGGCGCATTTGTGTTTGTTTGTTACCGAGCAGATTATATAAAGTTAAAATCCGTACTTATAATATCTCTGACAGGAAAGTGAAAAGAATATCGTAGACGTTGCTCCTTTTCTTTCTGTTTGACTCTGAAAGATGAAGAACAGTCCGTGACTCACTTCTCACAGTCATAATGTGGAATATTTTTGAGCTACATTTTTCAATTTTACAATGTGGGATAGTGCAATCTATCATCGGGTGAGGCCTATCATCGGGTGAGGCCTATCATCGGGTGAGGCCTATCATCGGGTGAGGCCTATCATCGGGTGAGGCCTATCATCGGGTGCGGCCCATAATCGGGTGAGGCCCATAATTGGGTGCGGCCTATAATCGGGTGCGGCCCATAATCGGGTGAGGCCTTTAATCGGGTGAGGCCTATAATCGGGTGCGGCCCATAATCGGGTGCGGCCCATAATCGGGTGCGGCCCATAATCGGGTGCGGCCCATAATCGGGTGCGGCCCATAATCGGGTGAGGCCCATAATCGAGTGCGGCCTATAATCGGGTGCGGCCTATAATTGGTTGAGGCCTATAATCGGGTGCGGCCTATAATTGGTTGAGGCCTATAATTGGGTGCGGCCTATAATCGGGTGCGGCCCATAATCGGGTGAGGCCTTTAATCGGGTGAGGCCTATAATCGGGTGCGGCCCATAATCGGGTGCGGCCCATAATCGGGTGCGGCCCATAATCGGGTGAGGCCCATAATCGAGTGCGGCCTATAATCGGGTGCGGCCTATAATTGGTTGAGGCCTATAATCGGGTGCGGCCTATAATTGGTTGAGGCCTATAATTGGGTGAGGCCTATAATCGGGTGAGGCCGATAATCGGGTGCGGCCTATAATCGGGTGCGGCCTATAATTAGGTGCGGCTTATAGTCTGGAAAAAACAGACATACACACACACACACACAAAGACACACCTCTTTCCCATCTGCTCATCTCTCTCTCTTTGTACCTTCATGATGATGATGATAATGATGAAAGCAGTCAGATAGTTATGCAGACTCTCATACCCCAACAAACCCATTGTCGTCTGAGTGAAATGAATAAAATGATGATGATGATGCTGAGGCGGTGCCCTTCGTCTCTCCTCCTCTTCCTCAGTACGCCTCAGAGGACGCAGAGCTGCTGCTGGTGGGAAACAAACTGGACTGTGAGTCAGAGCGGGTCATCTCCAAACAGCAGGGCGAGCGGGTACGGACCACACTCCTCTGTCAGGGTCTGAGAGGGTCTGTCTGTGAGGGTCTGAGAGGGTCCGAGAGGGTCTGTCTGTGAGGGTCTGAGAGGGTCCGAGAGGGTCTGTCTGTGAGGGTCTGTGAGGGTCTGTCTGTGTCTGTGAGGGTCTGAGAGGGTCTGTCTGTGTCTGTGAAGGTCTGTGAGGGTCTGTCTGTGTCTGTGAGGGTCTGTCTGTGTCTGTGAGGGTCTGTGAGGGTCTGTGAGGGTCTGTCTGTGTCTGAGAGGGTCTGTGAGGGTCTGTGAAGGTCTGTGAGGGTCTGTGAGGGTCTGAGAGTCCGTCAGAGTCTGATGTGTGTCTTTGTTGCAGTTCGCCTCCAGAATCAGTGGGATGCGCTTCTGTGAGTCCAGCGCTAAGGACAACTTCAACGTGGACGAGATCTTCCTGAAGCTGGTGGAAGACGTCGTTAGCAAAGTCAGTGACCGCCACAGAAAAACACTAGCGTACCGTAGCATTAGAATCCAGCAGTTTGGACACAGGAGATGCCACAGTAACAAACACAGAGGAGACGTTGGTCCATTTGGGGCATGACCACTGTCCAGATGTTATTAATGTTATTTAAAGTCCTGGATCATCACTGTCTTTAGACCCTCCTGCATCAGAGAGAAACCACTGAAAAAAACCCAGGGCCAAAAAGTGAGAAACGTCAGGGAGGCCCACATTGACGTTACGGACTGACTCTAGACCCAGGACTGAGGCTGTAGACCCAGGACTGAGGCTGTAGACCCAGGACTGAAGCTGTAGACCCGGGAATGAGGCTGTAGACCCGGGAATGAGGCTGTAGACCCAGGACTGAGGCTGTAGACCCGGGAATGAGGCTGTAGACCCAGGACTGAGGCTGTAGACCCAGGACTGAGGCTGTAGACCCAGGACTGAGGCTGTAGATCCAGGACTGAGGCTGTAGACACTGGACTGAGGCTGTAGACACTGGACTGAGGCTGTAGACACTGGACTGAGGCTGTAGACCCTGGACTTAGGCTGTAGACCCTGGACTGAGGCTGTAGACCCGGGACTGAGGCTGTAGACCCGGGACTGAGGCTGTAGACCCGGGACTGAGGCTGTAGACCCGGGACTGAGGCTGTAGACCCGGGACTGAGGCTGTAGACCCAAGACTGAGGCTGTAGATCACAAAACGCAGATGATCACATGTTTCCGATCGGTTCTCAAAACTTCAAATTGACTAGCTCCAACATTCAAATCCATTGTTTTCAGATGAAACATGATCGAACATAAAGTTGTGTACCTCAGCTTTAACGCACACATTTCTGTCTTTCCCTCCATAATCCTCTCCTCTGTGTGCTCTGACAGATGCCTTTGGAAATGTCCAATAAGGAGCTCTCCAACAGCGTCCTGTCGCTTCAGCCTGAGCCTGACGTGCCTCCCGAGCTGCCTCCTCCGCGCATGCGCTGCTGCTGAGTCTGACAGCACCTCCGCCGCGGTCCAGCAGGGGGCGCCACTCTGCCACATATCAGTATTAAACATGCCTTATCGCGGCCACACTTCACTCTGCGCTGAGATTGGAGCAAAGCAGACTGTAAAATATGGATCTATTCTTTTAACATTTGTATATTCTGCTCCTCATACACAACATTTCATTGTTTTTGTGATGTATTTAATTTGGGTCAAAAGATATAGATGAAAACGTTTGAACGTGGAGCGTGTTGGTCTGGAGGATGGTTCATAGAAATCACTTTAGATTTTCTCTGGACTTTTTGAGAACTAAACTTGAACTCAAGTACCGCTATAACACACTGCATAACAAGTCTCTCTCCCTGGTCTCTCTCTGGTCTCTCCCTGGTCTCTCTCTGGTCTCTCCCTGGTCTCTCTCTGGTCTCTCTCTGGTCTCTCTCTGGTCTCTCCCTGGTCTCTCTCTGGTCTCTCTCTGGTCTCTCCCTGGTCTCTCCCTGGTCTCTCTCTGGTCTCTCCCTGGTCTCTCTCTGGTCTCTCTCTGGTCTTTGGTGTCTCTCTCTCTCTGGTCTCTCCCTGGTCTCTCCCTGGTCTCTCCCTGGTCTCTCCCTGGTCTCTCTCTGGTCTCTCTCTGGTCTCTCTCTGGTCTCTCTCTGGTCTTTGGTGTCTCTCTCTCTCTCTGGTCCCTTTCTCTCTCTCTCTGGTCTCTCCTTTGGACTCTCTGCAGCTGTATTTTACAGTGTATGCACAACTTTTTACAGCTGCAGCAGCGCGCAGACCTACAACCCAACAGGATTGATATCGCTGGTCTCTCTCTCTGGTCTCACTCTCTGATCTCTCTGGTCTCTCTCTCTGGTCTCTCTCTGGTCCCTCTCTCTGGTCTCTCTCTCTGGTCTCTCTTTCTGGTCTCTCTGGTCTCTCTCTATTGTCTCTCTGGTCTCTCTCTTTCTGGTCTCTAGTCTCTCACCCTCTAGCCTCTCTCAGACTTGTTGTCTTTGAGGTAGACTGCCCTCTGCTGGGGTCACTTAAAAACTATGCATTCTCACTTCCAATGTAGCACTGGACCCGGCCCCACAGTTTGAGAAACACTACCCTTTTAGACCGTATGTTACTGACCGCAGACATCGACCGAGAGATCCACTTTCCTCTCAGTATTATCTCACCAGTTCTTTTAAAACCTTTTTGTACTAACTTACTTTTGTTTTTGCACTTTCAAAAGTTCCCACACATCCCAAACTTCACTGGGAGCGGGAAAAGTAGACGAATTGCAAAGGATTGTGGGTAATGTAGTCTTTCAAACAGTGCGTAGTCTTTATATGTGTTGTTAGCATTTGGAGAAGCGAGTAGTGGGTTGGTGCAGGAAGTGAACGGCTTGGGGAAGTTTGATTAGTCGGCACATATTAGCATATTAGCATATTAGCTTTTAGCAATCGTTTTGCTTTATGTATGTTGTTGGAAAGTTGTTATTTTCTTGGAAATAGCTGGAAAAGTAACTGCACAAATGTAACGATTCCCAGCTCTGCATGTTACAGTTAACGTTTGTATTTATGCAATATCCTACTGTGTTGTATGTAGCATTGTTTGGCCAAGTTCTATGGATTTAAAGAACACGTTATGCATTATTTTTAGTTCGTTCTGGCCTTTACACATGATCTTGAGATACATATTTTTTGAAGATATAAAAATGATATGGATAAACAAACTACGGTCTGTGTAATAGGAGTGTCCCGTAGTGTTAGCATCGTGTTAGCTTAATGCGAAAGAGCGTGACCAGCTGTTGGGGCTCATATCTGGATTTTCAAAGACCATATCACAGCATAAACTCCTGGATCACGGAGAGCGATAAAACACAGATTGTAAACCCCAAAATGGCGAGTGTGCCGCAAAACGTTACTGAGCGAGAGCAGTTTACTTCATGTAAGCCACTAGGAGCCAGAGAGAGCTGGAGAAAAACTCTGTCCATGAGCACTTCCCTATTGGGTTTAGCATTGTCCATCTCTATAGTGTATGGGTTGAAAGAAAGAACATTCAAACCTCCCTCTCGCTCTGTTGTAACTATAGACTATAGTCGATATAGACAGAACTCTACAGCACAATGAAGCGCAATGAGGAAGTGCTCGTGGACGAAGTTTTGCTCCAACTCTATTGACTTGAAACTCGTCTAGCTCAGTAACTGTTTGTGTCACACTCAGCATTTTGGGCTCTAAAAAATCAGTAGTTTTTGTGCTTTCTATCATCTTGTTGTTTATATTATAGCTTGGTAACTCCGCCGTTGCTACCGGCAATATTTGCTTAATTTGGTTCCGCATTCTCGCTCAAATGGCCTGTTCCAGCTTGCTCCAATCTGCCTCTTCTGCTTCAAGGCTAACGCTATAGTGACAGTCAGTCCACTTCCTAATACACAGTCTATGGTTGTAATAAATCCAACATGGCGCGGTCTCGGTGAAGCCACACACTTGTGAAGACCGCCATTTGACCGGAGAAATAAGCAATACTTTTTTTCGTGGCAATACTTTTGTTTTAATAAATAGCCCGAGTTTCTCCTTCGATGTGATTTCGTCGTGTGCCTTATGGAAAACAAAACAATGTAAGGGTGCTTTAAAGACATGTATGGTATATTAAGATTACTATTTTAAAAACACTTCTACATTTAGACACCAGCCTTTTGTACGTTCGACCCAGTGTCCCAGAACCATAGACTGAATACAGATGTCCAAGGCTAACACGCTAATGCTAACACGCTAGCTCAATGAACCTCAATAGGGAAGTCCTCCTCTCTCTGGCTCCTATTGACTTGCATGGAAACGTAAACTCTTAGCTCATTAGCTGTTAGCGTCACACTCACCGTTTTGGGCTAATAATAAAAATCTGTGGTTTTAGTTCTCCGTGACTCTAGCCTGCCTTAGCAAACGACTTAGCAACACGTCTGCCCCTGTCACGGCGCAAAGCTAACAGCCACAGAACAAATGCCCATATAAGGAAACTGGCTCCAGCTAAATTAAAAGTATTGGGTTCTTCTAAACCAGACAATATGAGCTTTTGTGATGTTAGTACCTTCCTAACACCTTATATAATCTGGTATAGAAGAACCCAATACTTTTAATTCTACTAAGAAGACAAGATGGCTCCAGCTAGCTTGCGCTCAAATCGGCTTCTCCCGCATCATGGCTAACACCGTGGTGATGTCACACTCAGTCGGTCCTCTCCTCATATACAGTCTATGGCTTAAATATATTATTTTGTTGGTGAATAATAATGGAAACCAACCCGGAGACACGGGGAGAACATGCAAACTCCATGTATAGAAATACGCAGGTGGACTTTTACCGTCATACACTATATATTCTACGTTTGCTTTTTGTTATTTAAGCTAAACGGCCGATACTGTTCCGGCATGAGCTGTTCGGAGTCAGCCGCTAAAACATTTGCAAAACATTGAAAATTATTCTTATAAGGTTCTTTAAATTCTAGAACTCCGAGCAGTCAATTCGACGGCTTAGTTTTCGAAGCACAATTACTTTTTTTTTTTTCTTTGCTATGGATCCTTGCCCTTACATGTGGGTCCTTTAAAGCTACACAGGAGGATTTTCTACTTCCGGGTGGACCATTGAGACTATTGGTCCTCCCAGTTGTCAATCATTCTGCTGACTCATCCACTAATTCAATTCAAATAACTTTATTCATCCGTGAGGAACTTCATTTGCAGACAGAGCACCAGTGCAGCAAAAGAGCAGAAATACATTATAAAATACATCAAACCGGTCTCTAAATCAGATGTTTAAAAGGCGGATTGAGGTTGGACCAGAGAGTTTCGTCCTCCTGTATACCATTTTAATAAAGTCTAAATAAATAAGATAAACTATGATCCAGTTTTGGCGCTTGTTAAAACTGAGTAAATGGTAAAAAAGTATAAATGCCTTTGTTTTTCCCACATGTTTAATCAAAAAGAACTTTTATTTTTCCTCTCCCAGAATTCCACTGACATTAAAAGAACCTTCTAAGCATTGACCACAAGAAAACACATTTTTACACTGAATACATTATTTGGAAAGTGCCTTTTTTCTCATTCTCTCAAAAGAAACCATTACAATGTCCCATAAATGAACGTATTCTTTGGATTTGAGCAGTTTCTCTCTGTATGTACTAACCCTCACTTTTAAAATCTACTTTTGTTGTTTTTTATGTTTTGAATCTTCTGAAAAACTGTATTAATCTGTCGTGGAAAAGTCATCTGTGGTATTTATAACGTCGTGGCATTCTTTGACTAATGAGATGCTATTAAAGACATTTATATTTATTATTTATGGCTTTGGTTTCTTTGTCTTTCTGTATTTCCAAAGAAACACAACAGATGAGACGAGAACGCACAAGGACTGGATCAATACACGCACACACACACGCGCACACACACACACAGTTAGACAGATACACACAGACATGGACACTAAGACTGATACATACAGACACACACAACCTGGACACTAAGTGAAACACTAAGATGAACACACACAACACGGACAAATACCAACACATACACACACACAGTAAGACAGAAACATACACAAAGACAGACTCACACACAGACACTAAGACAGACAGACATGGACACTAAGACTGATACACACAGACACACACAACATGGACAGATACGAACACACAACACAGACACACACAGACACGGACACACACACACACAGAGAGACACACCAGATGGGTAAATAGGGCTGGGTGCAGATGTGAGCAGCTGAGGAAGCGCCATCCAAGGAGCCATCTGCACCAGGAGCAGAGAGCCAACAACACAGGACCCAGAGGAGTCATGGACATTTCTTGGTAACCATGGCTTACAGCAGCTCTCTGGCCAATCACTTTGGAAAAGCTCGGCCTGGATAGAACCAGGACCAAGAGGGACTAAAGCAGGACCTGGGACTGGTCTGGAGTGAACCAGTGGAGATGCTAATTCTTCCATTGTCCTCAACTGGTCAGTGAGACACTGGACCAGGCCCCGCAGTTTGAGAAACATGACTCTTTAAAGTCGTTTGGGGATTTCTTTGACTGCGATGATTTTTAAGACATTTATATATTTGTATAAGAGTGAGGGAGCTACAAAAGATACATGTAGACAAGACAAGTTTAGTCTGTGCGTGTGCATGTGCATGTGTCTGTGTGTGTGCATGTGCATGTGTCTGTGTGTGTGTGTGTATGTGTGTGTGTATGTGTGTGTGCGTGTTTGCACTCGCAGACGTGTGAAAAGGCGACAGTTTAATTTTCCGTGGAACCTGTTTGTGTTTTATCACGTCTTTAATCCACGAACGTGTCCGTGATGGTCCCGGGGGCGGGTCGGAGAGACTCCAACTGCTGCATGTGCGCTTCACACGGACACGGACCGTGAACACAAACTCTGGAGGGAACACTTTGATTTTATTGACAGTTTGTGATGGAGACGTGCGCAGCGGACCGCGCCATCTCTGCTCCGTACGGACTGCTGCTGTGAGGCTGCTGCGCATGCGCAGGGTACAGACTCAGGCGTTGATCCTCGGAGCGTCTGCAGACTGCAGAGCTTCTGTCAGGTCTGAGGAGCAGGAGACAGGGACACCTGCAGAGCCACGGACAAGGCCGAACATGGGCCAGGCCTGAGCCCTGGACCTGGGACCGCTCTGTCCTGGATCTATCACCGACTCATCACCGACTCTGCAGTTGCCACCTGCCTCCTGTTCTCCCGCGGAGGAGGATGTAGAGCCTCCGCAGGATGCGGGGCTCCAGGCAGCGACACAAGCGGAAGAAACGCGTCTGTGGCCGCGTCTGTGGCCGCCCACAGCCGGCCTGAGAGCCTCCTGAGCCGGCCTGAGAGCCTCTTGAACCGGGGTGTTAGGCTCCAGAGCCGGGGGAGAGCCTCCTGATCCAGGATGGAGGGCTCTGGAGACAGAGCGCACGGACCGCAGCAGGAGAAGAAGCGGCTGAACAGAGTTGCTTCTCCCGCTAGACCTTTCATGAAGGAGGTGCACTCCCGCTCCTCCAGGTCCTCCCTTTCCCCGAAGTCTCCCAAACTGTCCAAACCTCCCGCGGCACCGCTGAGCCGCAGCTCCCGCCGCCCCGCTCCTGCTCCCGCGGTGAAGAGCCACAGGACTCCTCCGAAGAAGAGCCCGAAGAAAGTGGAGCTTAGCCCCGCGCTGCTGCAGAAGGGGAAGCCCTCCCCCGGGTCTCCCATCCGTGTGCCCACCGGAGCAGAGTCGCCTGCACCCGGAGCGCCCGGAGCACCCGGAGCAGCGGGCAGCAGCTCGGACCTGTCGGACTGTTCCGCCCCTGAGTCTGCCACCGGCTCCAGTGACCGGGACACTGTGGGGGCGCGTGCAGAGCCCCCCGGGGCCACGAGCCTGCCCCCCCCTCAGACCGTCCCTCAGACCTCCAGAGACCCCCCGGAGGAGGAGCTGCTGCGGGAGATAGAGGACCTGCGCTCAGAGAACGACTACCTCAAGGTAAAACTACTGTACTAATAACATATATCCACTACTACTACTACTACTACTACTACTACTACTACTACTGCTTCTAGAACTTTTACAATTACAAATACTACATAACAACTACTTCTGCCACTTCCACAGCACATATACTTCTATCAGCCTTGGAGTACTCTGTCCTCTCTCTGTTCAATGGTTTATGTCCTCTGGTTTCCTGTCTGTGTCCTCTTGGTCTCCCTGGTCTCTGGTCCCTGGTCTCTGGTCTCTGGTCTCTGGTCCCTGGTCTCTGGTCTCTGGTCTCTGGTCCCTGGTCTCTGGTCTCTGGTCTCTGGTCTCTGGTCCCTGGTCCCTGGTCCCTGGTCTCTGGTCTCTGGTCCCTGGTCCCTGGTCTCTGGTCACTGGTCCCTGGTCCCTGGTCCCTGGTCTCTGGTCCCTGGTCTCTGGTCTCTGGTCTCTGGTCCCTGGTCCCTGGTCCCTGGTCCCTGGTCTCTGGTCTCTGGTCTCTGGTCCCTGGTCCCTGGTCCCTGGTCCCTGGTCCCTGGTCCCTGGTCCCTGGTCCCTGGTCCCTGGTCCCTGGTCTCTGGTCCCTGGTCCCTGGTCTCTGGTCCCTGGTCTCTGGTCTCTGGTCCCTGGTCTCTGGTCTCTGGTCTCTGGTCTCTGGTCTCTGGTCTCTGGTCTCTGGTCTCTGGTCTCTGGTCTCTGGTCTCTGGTCCCTGGTCCCTGGTCTCTGGTCTCTGGTCTCTGGTCTCTGGTCCCTGGTCCCTGGTCCCTGGTCTCTGGTCCCTGGTCCCTGGTCTCTGGTCCCTGGTCCCTGGTCCCTGGTCCCTGGTCCCTGGTCCCTGGTCTCTGGTCTCTGGTCCCTGGTCTCTGGTCCCTGGTCCCTGGTCCCTGGTCTCTGGTCCCTGGTCCCTGGTCCCTGGTCCCTGGTCCCTGGTCCCTGGTCCCTGGTCCCTGGTCCCTGGTCCCTGGTCCCTGGTCCCTGGTCCCTGGTCTCTGGTCCCTGGTCTCTGGTCTCTGGTCTCTGGTCCCTGGTCCCTGGTCCCTGGTCCCTGGTCTCTGGTCTCTGGTCCCTGGTCCCTGGTCCCTGGTCCCTGGTCCCTGATCCCTGGTCCCTGGTCCCTGGTCCCTGGTCCCTGGTCTCTGGTCCCTGGTCCCTGGTCCCTGGTCCCTGGTCCCTGGTCCCTGGTCTCTGGTCCATGGTCCCTGGTCCCTGGTCCCTGGTCTCTGGTCTCTGGTCTCTGGTCTCTGGTCCCTGGTCCCTGGTCCCTGGTCCCTGGTCCCTGGTCCCTGGTCCCTGGTCCCTGGTCCCTGGTCCCTGGTCTCTGGTCCCTGGTCCCTGGTCCCTGGTCCCTGGTCTCTGGTCTCTGGTCCCTGGTCCCTGGTCCCTGGTCCCTGGTCCCTGGTCCCTGGTCCCTGATCCCTGGTCCCTGGTCCCTGGTCCCTGGTCCCTGGTCCCTGGTCTCTGGTCCCTGGTCCCTGGTCCCTGGTCCCTGGTCCCTGGTCCCTGGTCCCTGGTCTCTGGTCCATGGTCCCTGGTCCCTGGTCCCTGGTCCCTGGTCTCTGGTCTCTGGTCCCTGGTCCCTGGTCCCTGGTCCCTGGTCCCTGGTCCCTGGTCCCTGGTCCCTGGTCCCTGGTCTCTGGTCCCTGGTCCCTGGTCCCTGGTCCCTGGTCTCTGGTCCCTGGTCCCTGGTCCCTGGTCCCTGGTCCCTGGTCCCTGGTCCCTGGTCCCTGGTCCCTGGTCCCTGGTCCATGGTCCCTGGTCTCTGGTCTCTGGTCCCTGGTCTCTGGTCTCTGGTCCCTGGTCCCTGGTCCCTGGTCCCTGGTCTCTGGTCTCTGGTCCCTGGTCCCTGGTCCCTGGTCCCTGGTCCCTGGTCCCTGGTCCCTGGTCCCTGGTCTCTGGTCCCTGGTCCCTGGTCTCTGGTCCCTGGTCCCTGGTCTCTGGTCCCTGGTCCCTGGTCCCTGGTCCCTGGTCCCTGGTCTCTGGTCCCTGGTCCCTGGTCCCTGGTCCCTGGTCCCTGGTCCCTGGTCCCTGGTCCCTGGTCCCTGGTCCCTGGTCTCTGGTCCCTGGTCCCTGGTCCCTGGTCCCTGGTCCCTGGTCCCTGGTCCCTGGTCTCTGGTCCATGGTCCCTGGTCCCTGGTCCCTGGTCCCTGGTCTCTGGTCTCTGGTCCCTGGTCCCTGGTCCCTGGTCCCTGGTCCCTGGTCCCTGGTCCCTGGTCCCTGGTCCCTGGTCCCTGGTCCCTGGTCCCTGGTCCCTGGTCTCTGGTCCCTGGTCCCTGGTCCCTGGTCCCTGGTCCCTGGTCCCTGGTCCCTGGTCCCTGGTCCCTGGTCCATGGTCCCTGGTCTCTGGTCTCTGGTCCCTGGTCTCTGGTCTCTGGTCCCTGGTCCCTGGTCCCTGGTCCCTGGTCTCTGGTCTCTGGTCCCTGGTCCCTGGTCCCTGGTCCCTGGTCCCTGGTCCCTGGTCCCTGGTCCCTGGTCTCTGGTCCCTGGTCCCTGGTCTCTGGTCCCTGGTCCCTGGTCCCTGGTCCCTGGTCCCTGGTCCATGGTCCCTGGTCCCTGGTCTCTGGTCCCTGGTCCCTGGTCTCTGGTCTCTGGTCTCTGGTCCCTGGTCTCTGGTCTCTGGTCTCTGGTCCCTGGTCTCTGGTCCCTGGTCCCTGGTCCCTGGTCCCTGGTCCCTGGTCTCTGGTCTCTGGTCTCTGGTCCCTGGTCCCTGGTCCCTGGTCCCTGGTCCCTGGTCCCTGGTCTCTGGTCCCTGGTCCCTGGTCCCTGGTCCCTGGTCCCTGGTCTCTGGTCCCTGGTCCCTGGTCCCTGGTCCCTGGTCCCTGGTCCCTGGTCTCTGGTCCCTGGTCCCTGGTCTCTGGTCTCTGGTCCCTGGTCCCTGGTCCCTGGTCCCTGGTCCCTGGTCTCTGGTCCCTGGTCTCTGGTCTCTGGTCTCTGGTCTCTGGTCTCTGGTCCATGGTCTCTGGTCCATGGTCTCTGGTCTCTGGTCTCTGGTCTCTGGTCCATAGCAGTGACTGTGCATTATAGATTATGGCTTCTGCCAGATCCACTTCACCTCCTGCTCCACCTCCCACTGAGCCACATGTGGAGTATAGTAGGAGTAAGAGTAAAGCCTAGAGTATTGTTGCGCGGCGTGGCTTACGTTAGCGGTTGCGGTGGACCTACGTAAGCACAATGGATATTATACTGGCGCTTTCCCCTTACGGAGTTTTGAGGAGAATGTTGTAATCCCACAACAAACCACATGAGGGCGATCACACAGGAGCGGTCCCATTTACGCTGCTACTTTGTCCTCTTCAGAACAACAATAACAAACAAAGCTGTTTGAGATCATTACACGTGTTTCTACTGTAGGTTTATGTGATAGTTTTATGGATTCATTATTTTATAAGTCATTTCAACTGTGATGCTGTGAATAAAGACACAGTTCTTGTTGGAAACATAGTTATTATTAAATAGTTTTCAGCACAAACAGCAAAACAATAATAGTGGTAAATATCTGAGACAAACATGAACGATTTACGAGTGCAGGAGGAAAGCAACAAACGCAGCTACGATTCAAACAAAGACAGGAACAGTGCAAAACAAACGACTGCACAGTTTATAAGTTATATATATGTTAGATATAAGTTATATATATGTTAGATAGTCCACAGTCTCCTGTATATCAGGCTCTGAGCCCAAACTGCTTTTCCTTCGAAGCTCAAAGCTCTCTGCTCCATAGTGCCTCGTCCATGCTCCTGCTGCAGCCGCTTCATGCTTCCTTCCAATACACACACACGGACCAATCACAGCGGAGCTTCCTTGCGGCGACCCTTACGTAGTTAGAAAATTTCGATGCTGCGCGGCAGGCGACGTAAGGGCCTTGTGGTGACCAACGCGTTGCGCAAGTGACGTCACGTCACCTCCGTAAGCTCCGCGCCGCGCGAGTATAAACTAGGCTTAAGAGTAGGAGTAATTAGTTGTAGGCGTAGTTAGCCTCAGTCCTGGATCTACAGCCTCAGTCCTGGGTCTACAGCCTCAGTCCTGGGTCTACAGCCTCAGTCCTGGGTCTACAGCCTCAGTCCTGGGTCTACAGCCTCAGTCCTGGGTCTACAGCCTCAGTCCTGGGTCTACAGCCTCAGTCCTGGATCTACAGCCTCAGTCCTGGGTCTACAGCCTCAGTCCTGGGTCTACAGCCTCAGTCCTGGATCTACAGCCTCAGTCCTGGGTCTACAGCCTCAGTCCTGGATCTACAGCCTCAGTCCTGGGTCTACAGCCTCAGTCCTGGGTCTACGGCCTCAGTCCTGGGTCTACAGCCTCAGTCCTGGATCTACGGCCTCAGTCCTGGGTCTACGGCCTCCGTCCTGGGTCTACGGCCTCAGTCCTGGGTCTACGGCCTCAGTCCTGGGTCTACAGCCTCAGTCCTGGGTCTACAGCCTCAGTCCTGGGTCTACAGCCTCAGTCCTGGGTCTCAGCCTCAGTCCTGGGTCTACAGCCTCAGTCCTGGATCTACAGCCTCAGTCCTGGGTCTACAGCCTCAGTCCTGGGTCTACAGCCTCAGTCCTGGGTCTACAGCCTCAGTCCTGGATCTACAGCCTCAGTCCTGGGTCTACAGCCTCAGTCCTGGGTCTACAGCCTCAGTCCTGGGTCTACAGCCTCAGTCCTGGGTCTACAGCCTCAGTCCTGGATCTACAGCCTCAGTCCTGGGTCTACAGCCTCAGTCCTGGGTCTACAGCCTCAGTCCTGGGTCTAAAGCCTCAGTCCTGGGTCTACAGCCTCAGTCCTGGATCTAGAGCCTCAGTCCTGGGTCTACAGCCTCAGTCCTGGATCTACAGCCTCAGTCCTGGGTCTACAGCCTCAGTCCTGGGTCTACAGCCTCAGTCCTGGGTCTACAGCCTCAGTCCTGGGTCTACAGCCTCAGTCCTGGATCTACAGCCTCAGTCCTGGGTCTACAGCCTCAGTCCTGGGTCTACAGCCTCAGTCCTGGGTCTACAGCCTCAGTCCTGGGTCTACAGCCTCAGTCCTGGGTCTACAGCCTCAGTCCTGGATCTACAGCCTCAGTCCTGGGTCTACAGCCTCAGTCCTGGGTCTACGGCCTCAGTCCTGGGTCTACGGCCTCAGTCCTGGGTCTACGGCCTCAGTCCTGGGTCTACAGCCTCAGTCCTGGGTCTACAGCCTCAGTCCTGGGTCTACAGCCTCAGTCCTGGATCTACAGCCTCAGTCCTGGATCTACAGCCTCAGTCCTGGATCTACAGCCTCAGTCCTGGATCTACAGCCTCAGTCCTGGATCCCCTGTTTTTTGAAGATCCCTTTTAAAGACGACTGTAGTGGTTTAGGGGCCTCCCCCTTCGCTCCCGTGAGGCGGCCGCAGGATCCAGCCTCAAACCCATCTTTGCACCTTGCATCCTGGGTCTTCGTTTGCATTTTTATCCACATATTATTTCAGATTACATGCGTCTGTCCCTGAGGCAGGAAATGCAGCAGCAGATAATCAGCTTTACCACAGTCAGGTCTGATCTCACAGATACAGCAGCGGGACGGCCCATTACAGTCTCTCTCTCTCATTTGTCCTGAGTCCACTTTGATTCATGTTGTTGCATTATGAGATAAGTGAACGATAACTATTCAGGATCCAGGACTGAGGCTGTAGACCCAGGACTGAGGCTGTAGACCCAGGACTGAGGCTGTAGACCCAGGACTGAGGCTGTAGACCCAGGACTGAGGCTGTAGACCCAGGACTGAGGCTGTAGACCCAGGACTGAGGCTGTAGACCCAGGACTGAGGCTGTAGACCCAAGACTGAGGCTGTAGATCCTGGACTGAGGCTGTAGACCCAGGACTGAGGCTGTAGACCCAGGACTGAGGCTGTAGACCCAGGACTGAGGCTGTAGACCCAGGACTGAGACTGTAGATCCTGGACTGAGGCTGTAGACCCAAGACTGAGGCTGTAGATCCTGGACTGAGGCTGTAGACCCAGGACCGAGGCTGTAGACCCAGGACTGAGGCTGTAGACCCAGGACTGAGGCTGTAGACCCAGGACTGAGGCTGTAGATCCAGGACTGAGGCTGTAGATCCAGGACTGAGGCTGTAGATCCAGGACTGAGGCTGTAGATCCAGGACTGAAGCTGTAGACCCAGGACTGAGGCTGTAGACCCAGGACTGAGACTGTAGACCCAGGACTGAGACTGTAGACCCAGGACTGAGACTGTAGACCCAGGACTGAGACTGTAGACCCAGGACTGAGACTGTAGATCCAGGACTGAAGTTGTAGACCCAGGATTGAGACTGTAGACCCAGGACTGAGGCTGTAGACCCAGGACTGAGGCTGTAGACCCAGGACTGAGACTGTAGACCCAGGACTGAGGCTGTAGACCCAGGACTGAGGCTGACTTTATGAGACCACAAAGAGTTCATACTACATACTGTATCTTTAATATTGCATGTCTCTGTGTGTGTGTGTGTGTGTGTGTGTCTCTCTGTGTGTGTGCGTGTGTCTCTGTGTGTGTATGTGTGTGTGTCTGTGTGTCTCTGTGTGTGTGTGTGTGTGTCTGTCTGTGTGTGTGTGTGTGTGTCTCTGTGTGTCTGTGTGTGTGTGTCTCTGTGTGTGTGTGTTGTCAGGATGAGGTGGAGGAGCTCCGCGCTGAGATGGAGGAGGTCCGGGATAACTACCTGGAGGAGGAGGTGTACCAGGTGCAGGAGCTGCGGCGGGAGCTGGAGCGCTCCAACAAGAGCTGCCGCATCCTGCAGTACCGGCTGCGGAAGGCGGAGCAGCGCAGCCTCCGGGTCGCTCAGACGGGACACGTGGACGGGGACATGCTGCGGGCGCTGGAGCAGGACCTCAAGGTCAGACGGTGGTACTCTGAGTCACACTGAGTCTGTCCGACACAACGTCCACAGTCTCTCCTACTTTTACATTGATCACTAAATATCTACACTGCAAAAACTGATGAAAAAGAAGTCCAACACTGCTCAAATTCTGCAAAATGTTTTTAAAGCTGCACTAACGTTTTCGATTGTGAGCGCTGGCCTCGCTCTTTCTGGTCGCCCTCCCCGCACTCACGGATCTATCACCCCCACTACCCTCCACCCCCCCAGCCTGTGCTCATGTGTTAATTGTTTACGGAGCTCACGTCTCACAATATGGATCTCACATTTGAACGTGGCGTGACCATAGAATGATAGAACCAGGAAGTGCGGAGGACGAGACTTTCTTTTGTCTGTTTCTCTGAGTAAGTAGTAACCTGTAGCAAAGACACAGGAAGTTTCAGGTTAGCCTCCTCCGCTTGTTTACCTCAGCTGTCTGTGCTAACCACAGACCTGTGGCTTTTCTCAAGAAGGTGGGGGCCAGTGGTCCGCTGTGATTGGTCACAATCTGGACCCGAAACACATTCTCTTCCTTGTTTCACCAAAACTCGATCTAAAATATAATGTCACACCAGCACAAACCTGCAATACTTTTTCTTCAAAAGCCTAGTTTCACGTCTGAATGTAGTCCGAGCGTAGATGGTCCGAGCGTAGATAGTCCGAGCGTAGATAGTCTGAGCGTAGATGGTCCGAGCGTAGATAGTCCGAGCGTAGATAGTCTGAGCGTAGATAGTCCGAGCACAGATAGTCCAATCGTAGATAGTCCGAGCGTAGATGGTCCAAGCGTAGATAGTCCGAGCGTAGATGGTCCGAGCACAGATAGTCCAATCGTAGATAGTCCGAGCGTAGATAGTCCGAGCGTAGATAGTCCGAGCGTAGATAGTCCGAGCGTAGATAGCCCGAGCGTAGATAGTCCGAGCGTAGATAGCCCGAGCGTAGATAGTCCGAGCACAGATAGTCCAATCGTAGATAGTCCGAGCGTAGATAGTCCGAGCATAGATAGTCCAATCGTAGATAGTCTGAGCGTAGATAGCCCGAGCGTAGATAGTCCGAGCACAGATAGTCCAATCGTAGATAGTCCGAGCGTAGATAGTCCGAGCATAGATAGTCCAATCGTAGATAGTCCGAGCGTAGATAGTCCGAGCGTAGATAGTCCGAGCGTAGATAGTCCGAGCGTAGATAGCCCGAGCGTAGATAGTCCGAGCGTAGATAGTCCGAGCATAGATAGTCCCAGCGTAGATAGTCCCAGCGTAGATAGTCCGAGCGTAGATGGTCCGAGCGTAGATAGTCCGAGCGTAGATAGTCCGAGGCGGTCCCGCAGGTCTCTCCCTCAGACCAGTCTCTCCAGAGGATACGATGTAAGCTAGCTCTGTTCAGGGCTTGGTTTCTTCTTTGATCATGTTGTGGCTTTAGTTCCTCTTCTCTTCCTCACTGTTGTGTGGTTTGGGCTGTTTTTCTGTGTCTGCAGTTACAGCCAGAGGAGTTATAGCCACTTATGCTAACATGCTACTGTGTTTAGCAGCGCTGTAGAGGCTAGAGGACGCAGCCTTGTTCTGTGATTGGAGGAGAGCGGGCGTCACGCTAAGTCTCTACTCAGCACTTTATACGCCTGAGTTCATACACAGCTGAATCAATGAGCTCAAGTTTTACATTAATTACGGATTATAATACAACTTGTATGTAGTAATAAGCATTTTTATGAACTAAATAAATAAATAAAAATCGGGTAAAGCATCTTTGAAGCAGCCACAGCAGCTTCGGGTCCTGTTATTCCTTGTCCTTGAGAGCGGATGCAGAGGATGCAGATGAGGCTCATTCATAATTCATGCAGAAGAAGAGGCTGAGTGCTTCTGGGTCGGACGTTACATCCACAAAGTGTGCTCTCCACTGACGGATGTGGGCGTGAGAGAAAAACATTTATCTGGACTTTCTCCTGTTGTTTCTCACTGATGCAAACTTCATTTAGCTTTAACACCAGAAAAATGTGCAGCCTACAGCATTGGAGTTCAGACTGAGACCAGAGAGAGACCAGAGAGAGACCAGAGAGAGACCAGAGAGAGACCAGAGAGAGACCAGAGAGAGACCAGAGAGAGACCAGAAAGAGACCAGAGAGAGACCAGAGAGAGACCAGAAAGAGACCAGAGAGAGACCAGAGAGAGACCTGAGAGGGACCAGAGAGGGACCAGAGAGAGACCAGAGAGAGACCAGAGAGAGACCAGAGAGAGACCAGAGAGAGACCAGAGAGAGACCAGAGAGAGACCAGAGAGAGAGAGACCAGAGAGAGACCAGAGAGAGACCAGAGAGAGACCAGAGAGAGACCAGAGAGAGAGAGACCAGAGAGAGAGAGACCAGAGAGAGACCAGAGAGAGACCAGAGAGAGACCAGAGAGAGAGAGACCAGAGAGAGAGAGACCAGAGAGAGACCAGAGAGAGACCTGAGAGGGACCAGAAAGAGACCAGAGAGAGACCATACACCAGACTGAGACCAGAGAGAGACCAGAGAGAGACCAGAGAGAGAGACCAGAGAGAGACACTAGAGAGAGACCAGAGAGAGACACCAGAGAGAGACACCAGAGAGAGACACCAGAGAGAGACACCAGAAAGAGAGAGACCAGAGAGAGACCAGAGAGGGACCAGAGAGAGACCAGAGAGAGACCCAGAGAGAGACCAGAGAGAGACCAGAGAGAGACCAGAGAGAGACCAGAGAGAGACCAGAGAGAGACCAGAGAGAGAGAGACCAGAGAGAGACCAGAGAGAGACCAGAGAGAGACCAGAGAGAGACCAGAGAGAGAGAGACCAGAGAGAGAGAGACCAGAGAGAGACCAGAGAGAGACCAGAGAGAGACCAGAGAGAGAGAGACCAGAGAGAGAGAGACCAGAGAGAGACCAGAGAGAGACCTGAGAGGGACCAGAAAGAGACCAGAGAGAGACCATACACCAGACTGAGACCAGAGAGAGACCAGAGAGAGACCAGAGAGAGAGACCAGAGAGAGAGACCAGAGAGAGACCAGAGAGAGACCAGAGAGAGAGAACAGAGAGAGACCAGAGAGAGACACCAGAGAGAGACCAGAGAGAGACACCAGAGAGAGACACCAGAGAGAGACACCAGAGAGAGACACCAGAGAGAGACACCAGAGAGAGAGACCAGAGAGAGACACCAGAGAGAGACCATACACCAGACTGAGACAAGAGAGAGACCAGAGAGAGACCAGAGAGAGACACCAGAGAGAGAGACCAGAGAGAGACCAGAGAGAGACACTAGAGAGAGACCATACACCAGACTGAGACAAGAGAGAGACCAGAGAGAGACCAGAGAGAGACACCAGAGAGAGAGACCAGAGAGAGACCAGAGAGAGACCAGAGAGAGAGAACAGAGAGAGACCAGAGAGACCATGCTGAGGTGGAACAGCTGCAGGGACATCACCCTCTCAGAAAGACACTTCTTCTCCCTCACATTCATACGCTCACATTCTGTTCCCTTCACACCTCATCACTTTACTAATAATAAAAATAATTCATTTCATTTCATGGCGCCTTTCAAGACACCCAAGGACGCCTTACAACAGATTAAAAAACCTCACACACATTATTAAAAGCACAGAATATAATATTACTCTTCCCAACATTCACATTCCTCCAACTCACACCTCCGGGAGAGCTCGTCCTTGTCCCGGGGGAGGAGGGGGCATAGAGTCTGAGTGGACCTTGTTCTCCTCTATCAGCGATGCAGCGGCTCGTACCTGTGGTCTCAGGTCTCTGGTGCTGGTCCCGGCGGCAACCCCCGAACCCGGTGGTGGACACTGGTAGTAAGGGATACCGTCAGACTGTAGAAGGAGTCCTATGGAGCCATGATGGTTGGTGGGACTCCTGAGGCAGCGGTCCGTACCGGTGTAACGTGGGTTGGCATTGCCTTGTCGAGACACACTGCCTCAGCTGTCTATGATGTAATGCAAACCTGCGCTTGTCACGGCAGCGGAAGCAAACCAAGATGGCCGACATAAAGACAGAGAATTGCTTCAAAAGTTTAAATACGAACTAATTAAGTCACTTTTATTGCAATTTGAGGCGCGGTGTTGATGGTTCGGTGTTGGGATGTGTGGGTTTTAAGAGTCAAAGCAGTCGACAGGCAGTGCAAACCGACGTCACAGCGACAGGCCAAGCAGCAGTCATCTCGCAGGACTTGCAGGAAAGTTGTAGATTCGCCAAAAACAGATCAGAGAATCAAACTCACACACAGGAAATGCAATAACAACAAACACACAGAGCCTCGGGTCCATAGGGGGCGGAAACTAATGTCCGTACATGTTAAGAAACGTCCATGAATCTTATGTATGTAGTGGTTTGAACGTTGCACACCCGAACTTTGCCTGTTAGCATGTGTGTTTTCTTTACCTGTTAGCATGTGTGTTTTTGTTACCTGTTAGCATGTGTGTTTTCTTTACCTGTTAGCATGTGTGTTTTTGTTACCTGTTAGCATGTGTGGTTGCTTACCTGTTAGCATGTGTGTTTTCTTTACCTGTTAGCATGTGTGTTTTCTTTGCCTGTTAGCATGTGTGGTTGCTTACCTGTTAGCATGTGTGGTTGCTTACCTGTTAGCATGTGTGGTTGCTTACCTGTTAGCATGTGTGGTTTCTTACCTGTTAGCATGTGTGGTTTCTTACCTGTTAGCATGTGTGGTTGCTTACCTGTTAGCATGTGTGGTTGCAGGTGGCTAAAGACGTATCGGTGCGGCTGCATAACGAGCTGGAGGCGGTGGAGGAGAAGAGGAGCCGAGCGGAGGACGAGAACGAGACGCTGAGACAGAAGGTCATCGAGGTGGAGGTCGGCAAACAGGCGCTACACAACCAGCTGGACCGCACAAAAGAGGTTTGTGTGTGTGCGTGTGTGTGTGTATACGTGTGCGTGTCTGTGTGTGAGTGTCTGTGTGTGTGTGTGCGTGTGTGTGTGCGTGTGTGTGTGTCTGTGTGTGTGTGTATACGTGTGTGTGCGTGTGTGTGTGCGTGTCTGTGTGTGAGTGTCTGTGTGTGTGTCTGCGAGTGTATGTCTGTCTGCGTGTGTCTGTGTGTGTGCGTGTGTATGCAAGTGTGTGTGTGTCTGCGAGTGTGTGTCTGTGTGTGTGTGTATGCAAGTGTGTGTGTGTCTGCGAGTGTGTGTCTGTGTGTGAGTGTCTGTGTGTGTGTGTGTGTGTGTGCGTGTGTGTGTGCGTGTGTGTGTGTATACGTGTGTGTGCGTGTGTGTGTGCGTGTCTGTGTGTGAGTGTCTGTGTGTGTGTCTGCGAGTGTATGTCTGTGTGCGTGTGTCTGTCTGTGTGTGTGCGTGTGTATGCAAGTGTGTGTGTGTCTGCGAGTGTGTGTCTGTGTGTGTGTGTATGCAAGTGTGTGTGTGTCTGCGAGTGCGTGTCTGTGTGTGTGAGTGTCTGTGTGTGTGCGTGTGTGTGTGCGTGTGTGTGTGCGTGTGTGTGTGCGTGTGTGTGTGTATACGTGTGTGTGCGTGTGTGTGTGCGTGTCTGTGTGTGAGTGTCTGTGTGTGTGTCTGCGAGTGTATGTCTGTGTGCGTGTGTCTGTGTGTGTGCGTGTGTATGCAAGTGTGTGTGTGTCTGCGAGTGTGTGTCTGTGTGTGTGTGTATGCAAGTGTGTGTGTGTCTGCGAGTGCGTGTCTGTGTGTGAGTGTCTGTGTGTGTGTGTGTGTGTGTGCGTGTGTGTGTGTATACGTGTGTGTGCGTGTGTGTGTGCGTGTCTGTGTGTGAGTGTCTGTGTGTGTGTCTGCGAGTGTATCTCTGTGTGCGTGTGTCTGTCTGTGTGTGTGCGTGTGTATGCAAGTGTGTGTGTGTCTGCGAGTGTGTGTCTGTGTGTGTGTGTATGCAAGTGTGTGTGTGTCTGCGAGTGCGTGTCTGTGTGTGAGTGTCTGTGTGTGTGTGTGTGTGTGTGTGCGTGTGTGTGTGCGTGTGTGTTTGTCTTTATCACCTTGAGAGGACCGGCGCCTGACAGCACACTCACGGGGTGGGGACCAAAATCCTAGTGGGGACCAAAAACCCGGTCCCCACTAAGATAAACTATATTTTCAATTAAAATAGGCCCAAAATAAGGCTCTGGCAATTTTTCAGCTTGGTCTCCAAAAGTGACAAAAACCGACTTCAAGTGTGTAAGTGTGTATAGCAGAATTTACTCAGTATCGACCTCTAGTGGTGGAGTGCGGTACTACACTTACACACACTATGCCCAGTGCGCATGCGCTTGTCTTTTCCCTTTCGATTACACTGAACTTCAGGATTCAGGACGCGACATAGGACTTTTTTTGGATCACAATAAAAAAGGTAAGGAAAAAAATCACTTTTATGAATGTGTTTTAAATCATTTCCAATCTACAGGCATTCTTTAAAAACACTACAGAAGTTAGTTTGAAGAGTAGGCTTCTTATGTTAACGTCAACTAGCTGCTCCAAGCACATGTTTGTGGAGAAAGAAAGCTCATCTTTGAGGTAAAAGTTGTTTTTCATAATGATTTTGTTAGTTTCTTAACGTAAAACTAACTCCTAGAGCCTCCCCCTCCCCACATAGTCATATTGGGATAAATGGCTTATTTGATCACGTTTTAGTTAATTTCTTATTAATTACAAATTGTTAATTTTCATCTAGTTGGGCCATATCAGATATTTTGCACTGTTATACAGATGTAAGTTTCGGAGACTAGTTTAAATTTTATTTCCATGATGTCATTTTCATGCGCACTAAGTTAAAGCTGTGTTGACCACATGGAGATCGGAGCTGAAGCTACACACACAAAAAAACGACTGCGGAGGTTTTAAGGCCAGGTGCTCAAAGTAGGTAATGTAATGAATGAAATGTATTGTTTGTGTCGATAACATTTGCAAGGGAAGTGCCCAGACTTATTTTGGAGAGTTTTGGATAGACTCCCGACAGGTTGGTTGTAGAATTGTTAAGCTAACTAGGCTAAAGGCTAACGTTATCATTTCCTTCTTGTTTCTTTGTTCTGATATCACGTAGGTTAAGTCTCAATATTAGCCCATTTACTGCTTGTATTTTAGGAGGTTTTAGGGCCACAGTTGCTGAAAGGTATGGCATGTAACTAATGAAAGTAGAGTTTTGTTAGGTTTTACATTGTTAAGCTAGCTTTCGTTAGCATCCTGCTAACAGCAACGCGAGGGGTGGGAGGGCGTAGAGTTTTGGCCCTTGCAGACCTGGCCCAGTCCAAATTTAGACCTTGTTTAGACCGGGTTCAGTCATAGTTTTGGCTTGGTTTAGATCTTGTACAGTCTCTGGCCGCCAGACTCCCAAACATGATGCCATCTTTGCATAGTCTGGTATTACAAATTGAAGCGCGCGAAGCATATTATTATGTAACATAAAAACAGCGGGTTCGCGGGCTTCAACATGTGGGAAATGACTCGGGCCGCACGTTTGCGGGGTCAGGCTGGGCTGGGTTTTTTGGGTCTGGTCTAAACTCTCGGGAGGAGGGGAAACCTTAAGCAAGTGGCTATAGGCTATTAATTTCCTTCCCGTCTGTGGCGTTCTTCTGATCTAAATATTATCCCTATTAATGCTCCTCTTTATCCCTTATATCCATCGTTTGCGTTCCTGGTGAGAGTGGCACCAGCAACAAAAAAACTTCTATATCAGTCATTGACTCATTTACATTTGTGTGTAAACTAAGGGGCACTTAAATTGAAGCATTGTCCGTTTTGCATCGATAATTATAGGATTTACACCATCATGTCATCAAAAAAAAGAAAACCGCCTAAGGACGATGCTCTGGAGCACGCTGCCAAAGGGATGGACAAAACAAATATATTGGAGGTTAAATACATTAATTGTATTAAAGGTGAGTTGTGTGCAGTATGAGTTTATGACAGCTGACATCCTAGATAATAATTCAATATTTGTGCTAGGAAGAGGAATATTTGCAAAGAAAAAAGTACAACAAGGAGACTTCGTGGTGGAGTACAAAGGGGAGCTGATTGACTCGGCGGAGGAGGAAAGACGCCGTAGAGTATATTCGCCAAGATGTTCAGTCTTCATGTATAATTTTCAGTGGCATGAGAAGACATGGTGGTAAGATATACAAAAATAAAGCATATTTGTTATGTAATATTGCTTTGAGGGAAAAGAATGAAAGATATTATTTGAAAAATATTAGTGATTAATAGTTTTTTTTTCTTAGCATTGATGCATCACGAGAAGACCAAAGCTTTGGAAGATTGGTCAATGATAACGTCCGCCCTAACTGCAAAATGAAGAAACTTATTCATGATGGCAAACCTCATCTGTTTCTTTTTGCATTGAGAGACATTGATGCTGGGGAGGAAATATCATATGATTACGGAGGAACAGGCTGGCCATGGAGAAAAAAGGCAAGTGGAAAAGAGGCCTCATGAGTCTAAATAAATAAATAAATATTCCAGTTGTTATAGGCAATTTATAATGAATTAGAAATGTATGATCTTGAATTTGAGCATTTTAGAAGATTAAACTATACCGCCCGCTTCACACCACACGCATCAAGGCAGATGCGCGTCTCTTGTCAACGAAAGAGCGACTGCTTCTGCTGCCTCTTTGAAGTCTATGGAGGAGTTTAGCTGACAGAACAGCCCAGAGAACTGCTTTGTACAACACAGTTCTGCTGTATGTGTTCGTCCTCATGGTCTCTGTGCTAGTTGTGTCATACGTGAGAATTTATGAAAGAAAAAACAATGTCCAGAATCACTGGGAAACTTACCCTTTCCTCCTCACGTTTACTACATGTTCTGTGACCTGTGGGGCTGATCTAGCCGCTAAAGACTCTAGACACAAGGATATTTTCACTGCAATTTGATAGAAAACCGCTTCAAAGCGCAAGTGCCGTTCGGCAGAAATACGCGTGGGTCATATTTCGATTTGACTTTCGGGTGCGCTTGTCAACGCATCACGTACAGTGTGCATGTTTCTGGCTTCTACAATGGGTGCGTATCTGAAATCAGCCCTGCGACCCATGCTGTAAGCCACGACGCGAGTCTTACCCTCCCATAAGACGCGTGTGGTGTGTAGAAGACATAATGGTCTTCTATCTTGATACAAGAATCACAAGTACTAATTTAATGTTTGTTGTGAGTAAAATTACAGGATTCATTCGACATTGCAGTTTATTGTTTGCATAGAATTTTGTATTCTAAACTGCAGTCTTTGAAAATTTCTCTCTAGATAAAACACTGGGAAAGATGTGTGCATTGATTGTATTCAGTACAATGATATTGTGTTAATATACATTTTATGTTGGACCCGTCTTTAGGATGCAGACAAAGCCCAGCCTGACCTCAGCTTACCTGAATTGGGCAGGTCTGAAGCTGATTGCCATGACTCTCCTATTGCGAGCCAGGTAAAGACAAGTGAACAAGTTGACATGTAGAGTGCTTGAGTCACATTAATGTTGTCTGTTTAGTGTGCTGAAGATGTCCAGAATTCACACATCATGACTGTCTTCATGTTTGAATTCAACACTACGTCTGAACTGTATTCATTGATATCAAAATTAGTTTAAACTACAATCTGGTTTCACTACACTGGAGAGGTCCATTACACACATCTCAGCTGTAGTATAAAAGTAGATTCTGGTTTCACTACACTGGAGAGGTCCATTAGGCCAATGCTCTACCAACTGAGCTACTGTCGCCCCAATCTCAGCTGTAGTATAAAAGTAGATTCTGGTTTCACTACACTGGATAGGTCCTTTACACACATCTCAGCTGTAGTATAAAAGTAGATTCTGGTTTCACTACACTGGAGAGGTCCTTTACACACATATCCAGTCTAGTGTTCTTCTCTGCACACAGTCCAAGCTCTATTATTATAAACTACATTCAGGTGGCCAAATTGACGTTGTGACATCTATTTGTGTCCGTATTAAATATGTTTTTGGTATGAACTTTATCATACCTTATCTTTAAACATGGTTGTCTGTAATGACATTACGCAGAGGTCGTCGGATTTTGCTGCACTTAGCCTTTTATTGATAAAACACTGAGAAAGATGAGTGCATTGATTGTATTCAGTACAATGATATTGTGTTAATATACATTTTATGTTGGACCCGTCTTTAGGATGCAGACAAAGCCCAGCCTGACCTCAGCTTACCTGAATTGGGCAGGTCTGAAGCTGATTGCCACGACTCTCCTATTGCGAGCCAGGTAAAGACAAAGTGAACAAGTTGACATGTAGAGTGCTTGAGTCACATTAATGTTGTCTGTTTAGTGTGCTGAAGATGTCCAGAATTCACACATCATGACTGTCTTCATGTTTGAATTCAACACTACGTCTGAACTGTAATCATTGATATCAAAATTAGTTTAAACTACAATCTGGTTTCACTACACTGGAGAGGTCCATTACACACATCTCAGCTGTAGTATAAAAGTAGATTCTGGTTTCACTACACTGGAGAGGTCCTTTACACACATCTCAGCTGTAGTATAAAAGTAGATTCTGGTTTCACTACACTGGAGAGGTCCATTACACACATCTCAGCTGTAGTATAAAAGTAGATTCTGGTTTCACTACACTGGAGAGGTCCTTTACACACATCTCAGCTGTAGTATAAAAGTAGATTCTGGTTTCACTACACTGGAGAGGTCCTTTACACACATCTCAGCTGTAGTATAAAAGTAGATTCTGGTTTCACTACACTGGAGAGGTCCATTACACACATCTCAGCTGTAGTATAAAAGTAGATTCTGGTTTCACTACACTGGAGAGGTCCTTTACACACATCTCAGCTGTAATCCATCCATCCATCCATTTTCTACCCTTTAATCCATTTCTGGGTCAGGGGGGTGGCAGTAAGAGATGCCACCCAAGTCTCATAGCACCAGCCCCTCACTGACCCTCTGCAGGTGGTGAGTCCACAGGAGGATGGCTGCTCTGAGTGTGAGCATAGCCTTGATCTTTCAGTGGGGGCTTTGGGCAAAGTGGGCTTAAGTGTCTTGCCCAAGGACACAACGACAGCAGTCATCAGTGGGAGTCCGGTGGAGAAGGTGTAGAGGTGGGAATTGAACCCACGACCTTCAGGCCTGAAGGCCAATGCTCTACCAACTGAGCTACTGTCGCCCCAATCTCAGCTGTAGTATAAAAGTAGATTCTGGTTTCACTACACTGGAGAGGTCAATTACACACATCTCAGCTGTAGTATAAAAGTAGATTCTGGTTTCACTACACTGGAGAGGTCCTTTACACACATATCCAGTCTAGTGTTCTTCTCTGCACACAGTCCAAGCTCTATTATTATAAACTACATTCAGGTGGCCAAATTGACGTTGTGACATCTATTTGTGTCCGTATTAAATATGTTTTTGGTATGAACTTTATCATACCTTATCTTTAAACATGGTTGTCTGTAATGACATTACGCAGAGGTCGTCGGATTTTGCTGCACTTAGCCTTTTATTGATAAAACACTGAGAAAGATGAGTGCATTGATTGTATTCAGTACAATGATATTGTGTTAATATACATTTTATGGTTGGACCCGTCTTTAGGATGCAGACAAAGCCCAGCCTGACCTCAGCTTACCTGAATTGGGCAGGTCTGAAGCTGATTGCCACGACTCTCCTATTGCGAGCCAGGTAAAGACAAGTGAACAAGTTGACATGTAGAGTGCTTGAGTCACATTAATGTTGTCTGTTTAGTGTGCTGAAGATGTCCAGAATTCACACATCATGACTGTCTTCATGTTTGAATTCAACACTACGTCTGAACTGTAATCATTGATATCAAAATTAGTTTAAACTACAATCTGGTTTCACTACACTGGAGAGGTCCATTACACACATCTCAGCTGTAGTATAAAAGTAGATTCTGGTTTCACTACACTGGAGAGGTCCTTTACACACATCTCAGCTGTAGTATAAAAGTAGATTCTGGTTGCACTACACTGGAGAGGTCCATTACACACATCTCAGCTGTAGTATAAAAGTAGATTCTGGTTTCACTACACTGGAGAGGTCCATTACACACATCTCAGCTGTAGTATAAAAGTAGATTCTGGTTTCACTACACTGGAGAGGTCCTTTACACACATCTCAGCTGTAGTCCATCCATCCATCCATTTTCTACCCTTTAATCCATTTCTGGGTCAGGGGGGTGGCAGTCAGAGATGCCACCCAAGTCTCATAGCACCAGCCCCTCACTGACCCTCTGCAGGTGGTGAGTCCACAGGAGGACGGCTGCTCTCTGAGTGTGAGCATAGCCTTGATCTTTCAGTGAGGGCTTTGGGCAAAGTGGGCTTAAGTGTCTTGCCCAAGGACACAACGACAGCAGTCATCAGTGGGAGTCGGTGGAGAAGGTGTAGAGGTGGGAATTGAACCCACAACCTTCTGGCCTTAAGGCCAATGCTCTACCAACTGAGCTACTGTCGCCCCAATCTCAGCTGTAGTATAAAAGTAGATTCTGGTTTCACTACACTGGAGAGGTCCTTTACACACATCTCAGCTGTAGTATAAAAGTAGATTCTGGTTTCACTACACTGGAGAGGTCCTTTACACACATATCCAGTCTAGTGTTCTTCTCTGCACACAGTCCAAGCTCTATTATTATAAACTACATTCAGGTGGCCAAATTGACGTTGTGACATCTATTTGTGCCATATTAAATATGTTTTTGGTATGAACTTTATCATACCTTATCTTTAAACTTGGTTGTCTGTAATGACATTACGCAGAGGTCGTCGGATTTTGCTGCACTTAGCCTTTTATTGATAAAACACTGAGAAAGATGAGTGCATTGATTGTATTCAGTACAATGATATTGTGTTAATATACATTTTATGTTGGACCCGTCTTTAGGATGCAGACAAAGCCCAGCCTGACCTCAGCTTACCTGAATTGGGCAGGTCTGAAGCTGATTGCCACGACTCTCCTATTGCGAGCCAGGTAAAGACAAGTGAACAAGTTGACATGTAGAGTGCTTGAGTCACATTAATGTTGTCTGTTTAGTGTGCTGAAGATGTCCAGAATTCACACATCATGACTGTCTTCATGTTTGAATTCAACACTACGTCTGAACTGTAATCATTGATATCAAAATTAGTTTAAACTACAATCTGGTTTCACTACACTGGAGAGGTCCATTACACACATCTCAGCTGTAGTATAAAAGTAGATTCTGGTTTCACTACACTGGAGAGGTCCATTACACACATCTCAGCTGTAGTATAAAAGTAGATTCTGGTTTCACTACACTGGAGAGGTCCTTTACACACATATCCAGTCTAGTGTTCTTCTCTGCACACAGTCCAAGCTCTATTATTATAAACTACATTCAGGTGGCCAAATTGACGTTGTGACATCTATTTGTGTCCGTATTAAATATGTTTTTGGTATGAACTTTATCATACCTTATCTTTAAACATGGTTGTCTGTAATGACATTACGCAGAGGTCGTCGGATTTTGCTGCACTTAGCCTTTTATTGATAAAACACTGAGAAAGATGAGTGCATTGATTGTATGATCAGTACAATGATATTGTGTTAATATACATTTTATGTTGGACCCGTCTTTAGGATGCAGACAAAGCCCAGCCTGACCTCAGCTTACCTGAATTGGGCAGGTCTGAAGCTGATTGCCACGACTCTCCTATTGCGAGCCAGGTAAAGACAAGTGAACAAGTTGACATGTAGAGTGCTTGAGTCACATTAATGTTGTCTGTTTAGTGTGCTGAAGATGTCCAGAATTCACACATCATGACTGTCTTCATGTTTGAATTCAACACTACGTCTGAACTGTAATCATTGATATCAAAATTAGTTTAAACTACAATCTGGTTTCACTACACTGGAGAGGTCCATTACACACATCTCAGCTGTAGTATAAAAGTAGATTCTGGTTTCACTACACTGGAGAGGTCCATTACACACATCTCAGCTGTAGTATAAAAGTAGATTCTGGTTTCACTACACTGGAGAGATCTTTCAGTGGGGGCTTTGGGCATAAAGTGGGGTTAAGTGTCTTGCCCAAGGACACAACGACAGCAGTCATCAGGACACAACGACAGCAGTCATCAGTGGGAGTCGGTGGAGAAGGTGTAGAGGTGGGAATTGAACCCACGACCTTCAGGCCTGAAGGCCAATGCTCTACCAACTGAGCTACTGTCGCCCTGCCGTTCTAACTAATGGGCCAAAAAATGTGCTCTACTGGACCTATCCAAAATGGCCACGAGTGGTCCCGCCCACAAGAAAATTGTGAAAAAACGCATCTGCGCATGCGTCAGCCGGCGCAGCTCCATTCATTTGAACGAGAGACTTCAAAAATTCACAGCAAGTAAACTAGAGTGGACCAGAACACTCCCTCAGCATTGACACACATGTGGAACGGAGCTTTTGGACCATCCTGTAAAGACGTTTTTGAGAGGTCTGCCAATGCTATATGTTAGCATTGGCTAATTCTTCTTCTGGGTCCACCCCCATCGGCCCGGGGTGGTATTGCAGCATGTCAGCGCACGTCATTTTGGCCACTTTTGAGCTGGGACCCTCCCCCACTGTCGGTCATGATCTTTGGGTAACGACCGAGACACAAGCTCCACATGAGTGTCCTCTGCAGAGTCGAGCTCCCTTAGAGATACGGGAGGAGCTCGGAGTAAAGCCGCTGCTCCCCCATGTAGAGAGGAGTCAGTTAAGGTGGCTCGGGGATCGGTTTGGGAGGCATGTGTTCCTCTGTGTGAGTTCAGCGGTTGATTGTGTGCCACAGGTTCCGCATGGTGCCCTTCCTGACGGAGCTGAGGGCCGTGATGGACTGGGTCTGGACCGACACGTCTCTGTCTCTGTCCTCCTGGATCTGTGTGGAGGACATCTACGCTCACATCTTCATCCTCAAGTGCTGGAGGGAGTCGGAGAAGGTTTCTATCTTTCTGTCGACACGCAAACACAGCATCCAGGAACGTAATCTGGGAAGTTTGGCTCACTGCAAAAAGTGATGAAAAATACAGTGAAAAATGGCTCATATTTTGCTAAATGTGTCTTAATTTGAACATTCTGACTGAGCCTTAAAACAAGATTTTCCAATGGGACAAAGCAAAATGATCTAGTTTTAAAAAGATCAGAGAAATGTCTTGCCTGACTCTTACCAGATTCTTGTAGTTCGCTGAGCTTCACACCTGGGTCTGGGATTTCTCAATAGCAAATGTATTTCAGAAGGCGGGGCTTGTAGGAAAAAAATAATAATCGTTTGTGATTGGATAAACCACTTGTCCGTTAGTTTGAATGACGTGCTCATTACAATTACAACAATTTATTCTTGTATAGCCCTAAATCACTGGAGTCATCTCAGAGACTTAACAAAACCATTGAAATCACCAACACAGATCAGAGAATCAACAGTTAAAACACAAAGAATAAAGAACACATGGTATTGGACCATATGGAGAGACCATTGTCCATGAATGTTTATAAATGTCCATAATTGTTGTAGAATGAGTGTCCTGGATCACCACAGTCCTTCTTGTTGGGCTGCGGTCACATGAACAGCCTAAAGCCCGGTTAAAGTGTGCCTGGGCTGGGGATGAGGTGTGCCTGGGCTGGGGATGAGGTGTGGCGGGGACTTGATTCATTCATTTCTCAGTGCTTTTTCGCTCGTTACTAAAGAGGCGTAGTCTCGCGAAAATGCCCCCAAAAAATACCCCAAATGTTTCTTTGGCAAAAAAGAAATGCAATCGACTTCGACAATCATAATTCTGTTTGTCTTTTTGTCTTTTTATTACCTACTTGTCGCTTAGAACAAAAGTATGCAGGAAACTACCCAACCTGGCAACCCTGCTGCATAGTGTAGTTTGACAGCAGTTAAACCAGTACTTAAACCAGGACTGAGGCTGTAGATCCAGGGCTGAGGCTGTAGACCCAAGGCTGAGGCTGTAGATCCAGGGCTGAGGCTGTAGACCCAGGACTGAGGCTGTAGATCCAGGACTGAGGCTGTAGACCCAGGACTGAGGCTGTAGACCCAGGACTAAGGTCTCTGTTGCAGCCTCAGTTGCGGCCTCTGTCACGGCCTCTGTCGCGGTCTCAGTTGCGGCCTCCGTTGCGGCCTCCGTTGCGGTCTCTGTTGCGGCCTCAGTTGCGGCCTCAGTTGCAACCTCAGTTGCGGCCTCAGTTGCGGCTTCAGTTGCACCCTCAGTTGCACCCTCAGTTGCACCCTCAGTTGCACCCTCAGTTGCACCCTCAGTTGCACCCTCAGCTGCACCCACAGTTGCACCCTCAGTTGCACCCTCAGTTGCACCCTCAGCTGCACCCTCAGTTGCACCCTCAGTTGCACCCTCAGTTGCACCCTCAGTTGCACCCTCAGCTGCACCCTCAGTTGCACCCTCAGTTGCACCCTCAGTTGCGGCCTCCGTTGCGGCCTCAGTTGCACCCTCAGTTGCACCCTCAGTTGCACCCTCAGTTGCACCTTCAGTTGCACCCTCAGTTGCACCCTCAGTTGCACCCTCAGTTGCGGCCTCAGTTGCAGCCTCAGTTGCACCCTCAGTTGCGGCCTCAGTTGCGGCTTCAGTTGCACCCTCAGTTGCACCCTCAGTTGCGGCTTCAGTTGCACCCTCAGTTGCGGCTTTAGTTGCACCCTCAGTTGCACCCTCAGTTGCACCCTCAGTTGCGGCCTCAGTTGCACCCTCAGTTGCACCCTCAGTTGCACCCTCAGTTGCACCCTCAGTTGCACCTCAGTTGCGGCCTCAGTTGCACCCTCAGTTGCGGCCTCAGTTGCACCCTCAGTTGCACCCTCAGTTGCACCCTCAGTTGCACCCTCAGTTGCGGCCTCAGTTGCACCCTCAGTTACGGCCTCAGTTGCACCCTCAGTTGCACCCTCAGTTGCGGCCTCAGTTGCAGCCTCAGTTGCACCCTCAGTTGCACCCTCAGTTGCACCCTCAGTTGCACCCTCAGCTGCACCCTCAGTTGCACCCTCAGTTGCACCCTCAGTTGCACCCTCAGCTGCACCCTCAGTTGCACCCTCAGTTGCGGCCTCCGTTGCGGCCTCAGTTGCACCCTCAGTTGCACCCTCAGTTGCGGCCTCAGTTGCACCTTCAGTTGCGGCCTCAGTTGCACCCTCAGTTGCACCCTCAGTTGCACCCTCAGTTGCACCCTCAGTTGCGGCCTCAGTTGCAGCCTCAGTTGCACCCTCAGTTGCGGCTTCAGTTGCACCCTCAGTTGCACCCTCAGTTGCGGCTTCAGTTGCACCCTCAGTTGCGGCTTTAGTTGCACCCTCAGTTGCACCCTCAGTTGCACCCTCAGTTGCGGCCTCAGTTGCACCCTCAGTTGCGGCCTCTGTGGCGGCCTCAGTTGCGGCTTCAGTTGCACCCTCAGTTGCACCCTCAGTTGCACCCTCAGTTGCACCCTCAGTTGCGGCCTCAGTTGCACCCTCAGTTGCGGCCTCTGTGGCGGCCTCAGTTGCGGCTTCAGTTGCACCCTCAGTTGCACCCTCAGTTGCGGCCTCAGTTGCACCCTCAGTTGCGGCCTCAGTTGCACCCTCAGTTGCACCCTCAGTTGCACCCTCAGTTGCACCCTCAATTGCACCCTCAGTTGCTGTCTCAGTTGCACCCTCAGTTGCACCCTCAGTTGCGGCCTCTGTGGCGGCCTCAGTTGCACCCTCAGTTGCACCCTCAGTTGCACCCTCAGTTGCGGCCTCAGTTGCAGCCTCAGTTGCACCCTCAGTTGCACCCTCAGTTGCAGCCTCAGTTGCACCCTCAGTTGCACCCTCAGTTGCGGCCTCAGTTGCGGCCTCAGTTGCGGCCTCAGTTGCACCCTCAGTTGCACCCTCAGTTGCACCCTCAGTTGCGCCCTCAGTGGCACCCTCAGTTGCACCCTCAGTTGCGGCCTCAGTTGCAGCCTCAGTTGCACCCTCAGTTGCACCCTCAGTTGCAGCCTCAGCTGCACCCTCAGTTGCACCCTCAGTTGCGGTTTCTGTGACCAGGAGTTGTGTTGCAGAGATACCCGCAGCCTCGAGGGCAGAAGAAGAAGAAGGTGGTGAAGTACGGGATGGGAGGCATGATCGTGGCGCTGCTCATCTGCATCGTGTGGTTCCCGCTGCTCTTCATGTCTTTGGTCAAATCTGTGGCCGGCGTCGTCAACCCGCCTCAAGACGTGTCCTTCGAGATCACGCTGGCCGGGTTTCAGGTACCACTCTTACACACACTGTAAAAAATGAAACGCAAACATGTACTTCACCCCGAGTTCCTAAATACAGTGGTTTAGGAATGTTTTATACTTCATCAAACTGGAAAAAATTAGGGTGACTCTGAGCGGATTTGTCAATCGACTTGAACAGACCTGGCAACCACTGTTTCAAGAACTACAACACTTGGATTTCCCTTTTTCCCCAGATGAATTTCTTGATGTTTCTTTAATTGTTTTTTTCTAAATGTGTATTATTATCACTTTGTTTTCTTTGCTTTTTTTTGTTGTTGTTGAAACTTTTGACATTTTAAAGGTATTATGGCATTTTTTGGCCAATTTTTTGTTTCTTCCATCATAATGTTATTGATATTGGTTGGTTTTGTTTGGGTAGAACCAAAACTGGACCAACATTTCAGGAGATTCACTAAATTCATATTAGCGGGAAGGGTCCAGGGGCCGCATAGAAACGTGAACAGGGCCACATGTGACCCCTGGGCCCGCAGTTGGCCCAGCTCTGGACTGGACTTTGAACGTACCTGCTTCTCTTTCAGCCCATCTTCACCATGAGCGCTCAGCAGAAGCAGCTCCAGAACGTGAGCGAGGAAGAGTTCGAGCAGTTCAGGACCAGATACCTCGGAGACGATGTACGTGGACAAGTATTTCACAATAGTTACAGCTCCAAACTGTTTTCCCACAATGTGTGTAGTTGAACATGGCAGCGGAGAAATCTCTAATGGTCATTTTGATAAAGTCGTCTCAGTTAAGAACTATTTTCCCACTTCTTTTTGAGTTTGAATAATTTACAATATTATAATAAGTAATTGTTAAGGAATTATTTGTTTGCTAATGTTTAAAGATGCAGTAAGCAATTTTGTTAGCTTAGCCGTAGCACCAACTGGAAACCACTCCCCCCTCCCCTCCCTCTCCACCAAACCACTCCCCTCCCCCCTCCCCTCCCTCTCCACCAAACCACTCCCCTCCCCCCTCCCCTCCCTCTCCACCAAACCACTCCCCTCCCCCCTCCCCTCCCTCTCCACCAAACCAAACATCCAGCCTTTTCTTGTCTTTGTCACAGGGAGAGTGAAGCAAACGTGAAATTTTCTGTTCAGTCATTTTAGGTTTTAGAAAATCGGATAACTCCGGTGCACTCTGAGAAACAGGAAGAGGGTGAAGGCGGTAAACACATCCCATTGGTTCGTTGGAGATGAACGAATCCCATTGGTTTATTTTTATTGGTCCGCTCCAAAATATTTGTTATTCCTTTTTGTAGACTATAGACATCTTGTCAATTCCATTACTATTTGAAAACACATGAAAACTTAATACTTTTAGGGTTTAGGGACAATTTCCCACAATATTTTAAAAAATGCGTCTGGAACCAAAATCATCTTTAAGGTCCATTGAACTCCAAATAAATAGACACTCAACTAAAAAAATATAGTTTGAACTGCTGAAAATGTATGTTTACAACCACAAACATAGATTAGATTTGTTTTAAGACCACAACAAAGTAAGAGATGAGTATGATGTGAAAACAAAAAGATACTTGATTTTTTTATATTTTAAAACATCCAAAAGTCAAATGTGACTTGCACATGAATTAGACTTTGAAACTTCATTAACACTTTCGATTAGCCCTCACTAAGTAACAGCTGATTAAGTGATTATTAGCGTACCCTAGCTCTAGCCCTAGCCCTTAAACCAGGGGTGTCATTCATACGGCCCGCGGGGCGGAACCGGCCCGCCAAGAGATTTGACACGGCCCGCGGCTCATTTATGTAAAAATATAATAATAATACATTTTAAAAAGCCGCTCCGCAACGCGAGTCTTCGCGACGCCGCAGCGCCACGCTCAGGGGTGAGTCCAGTGCGTCTGTAGTGGCTCCACCAGAGCGGTACTGGAGGAATAACATCTTAAACTACAAGACTCGGCAAAAAATACGGCACTTTGAGCGGAGAATTGAGAAAACAGAAGATAAACATGTCTGGCCCTGAAGACACAGCAGTCTGTTTGTGCCCAGAGCGAGGGGTTAGTTCTGCTGCTGTAAAGGGAAGCTACCTGTGCTAAGAACATTAGCATTAGCATCGCAGCCGCACAGTGAGAGAGAGAGTTTGTTAAAACTCTCATACAGGCTGCAGACATGGTCTGAGAAACCACTCGCTTTTACCAACATGTTGCCATTGATAAGAGACTGATGTTACTGATGTCACATATTCATTTGTGGTGTTACTGAAACTATCAGAGGAGTTTTGAGCGCTGCTGCTGGTGCTGCTGCTGGTTCTGCTGTTGTTGCTGGTGTGTTGGACAGTGTGGACTGGTACCGATGGTAAAAACAGGTGTAGTGACAAAGCTGCAAATGGAGGTGATGATTTTTGGACATTTGACTGTATTTTACACAGAGACACTGCTGCAGTCGTTAAGAATGGATCACGTTATGGAAGTTGTTTTATTCATTTCAACTGAATCATGGTCAGTTTGATGCTTTCTCTGTGATAATAACATAACCATGTACCTTACCACACTGAAGATGGTTAATGTGATAATAACATAACCAGGGACCTGACCACACTGAAGATGGTTAATGTGATAATAACATAACCATGGACCTGACCATGGTTGAGTGGATAGCCTGAGTGCTATCCACTCAGGCACGGTGGCTGAGTGGATAGCACTCTCGCCTCTCAGCAAGAAGGTCCCGGGTTCGAATCCCGGTCGGACCAGGGCCTTTCTGAGTGGAGTTTGCATGTTCTCCCTGTGTCTGCGTAGGTTTCCTCCGGGTACTCCGGTTTCCCCTACCACTAAAAATATGTCCAATAGTTCTAGCATGCGCCTCCTGTACTGGCGACCCCGCTCCCATCTCTGTGTGGAGTGAGAGACTAATGCCCAAAATTAACAATTGTAAACCGCTTTGAGACTCAAATCTGCAGTGAAAAGGCGGTATATAAATAAAGATTACTACTTACTACTACTACCACACTGAAGATGGTTAATGTGATAATAACATAACCATGGACCTGACCACACTGAAGATGGTTAAGCTGAGGTGCTGTGTTAAAGTGCTTTTTTCTGTCTACTTTACCTTTGTGAGCAAGTTTTCTCTGTAATGAGCCTTAAAACAAAGCTAACATACAAATATGAATATACATATTGTGAAATACCATTTTCAATGTAATATTGTAAATACATTACATTATTTGCACTATGGAAAACTCACTGTTACATTTAAGTTTGTAACAGAAAACTGAGTATTAAAGGATAGTGTTTTAAAGGAAGTTTTAAATAAATGTGTTTATGTGCACAAAAAGTTGGACTTTGTACCGTTTTTGGATATTTTTGTAGAGCATCTCCTGGTCCGGCCCACTTGAGATCAGATTAGGTTGTATGTGGCCCCCGGACCAAAATGAGTTTGACACCCCTGCCCTAAACCCTAATCTGAATGGGAAAGTGTCAGTAGTAGTTCTCTGTGTAATCTGCTCTCAGTATGAGTCGTACTAGTACACGCCGATATTTAAGCACAAATATGTTCTAAAGCCGTGCCTTGCCTTGCTTGTCCTGCAGGAGGCGCTGCAGTGGCTGGAGAGTTACATGCCTGTGGACCTGGTGATCGCGGAGCTCAAGGGAAGTTCCAACTCCCTGTGGACCATCAGCCCCCCGAGCCGCCGGAACCTGATCGACATGCTGGGCTCCGACGAGGACTTCCCCATCACCGTGGCCTGGTCTGTGCAGAGGTACTCTCCCCTGATCCTGTCTCTCCATTTACACCAGGGCTCGCACTCAGACTAGGAGCAGGAGGAAGAGTGTGTGGAGAGGGAGGACTGGGCGTCTCTGCTTACACTGCTGCCCTCACCACCCACCAACGGATAAAGCGGAAGAACTTGGATGGATGGAGGTCTGAAGCAGGGGCTCTCTTTGTGCCCTGAGACCCCCTTATCAGCAGAGACTAAACCAATATGTTTAGACATGTTTACTTTAGAGATGTCACACATGTGTTTGTTGTGTTCAGAAACCTGAGTCTCGGCGCCAAATCTGAAATAGCGTCGGGGAAACTGGTGAAGCCTCTGGAGCCTCAGACCAAGAAGGAGCTCATCCAGTTACTGCAGGGATCTGGCAACAAGAAAGTGTACGGACTCTGTGCACGTGCAATATGTACATGTGCAATATGTGCATGTGGAATATGTGCATGTGCAATATGTGCATGTGAAATATGTGCATGTGGAATATGTGCACGTGCAATATGTACATGTGCAATATGTGCATGTGGAATATGTACATGTGGAATATGTGCCGGGGCGACAGTAGCTCAGTTGGTAGAGCATTGTCCTTAAGGCCAGAAGGTCGTGGGTTCAATTCCCACCTCTACACCTTCTCCACCGACTCCCACTGATGACTGCTGTCGTTGTGTCCTTGGGCAAGACACTTAACCCCACTTTGCCCAAAGCCCCCGCTGGAAGATCTCAGCTCCTGTGGACTCACCACCTGCAGAGGGTCAGTGACGGGCTGGTGCTATGAGACTTGGGTGGCATCTCTGACTGCCACCCCCCTGACCCAGAAATGGATTAAAGGGTAGAAAATGGATGGATGGAATATGTGCACGTGCAATAAGTGCAAGTGCAATATTTGCACGTGCAATATGTGCATGTGGAATATGTGCATGTGCAATATGTGCATGTGCAATATGTGCATGTGGAATATGTACATGTGGAATATGTGCATGTGCAATATGTGCATGTGGAATATATGCATGTGCAATATGTGGAATATGTGCATGTGCAATATGTGCATGTGGAGTATGAGGGTTTGGGAGGTTTCAAGGGACTGGATTTAAATGACATCTACATCCTGTACATGTGTCAGTCACATGACACACACGTGTCTAAAACAGTCACATGACACATATATGTTTCTATAACAGTCACATGACACACACGTGTCTATAACAGTCACATGACACATATATGTTTCTATAACAGTCACATGACACACACGTGTCTATAACAGTCACATGACACATATATGTTTCTATAACAGTCACATGACACACACGTGTCTATAACAGTCACATGACACACACGTGTCTATAACAGTCACATGACACACACACGTGTCTAAAACAGTCACATGACACATATATGTTTCTATAACAGTCACATGACACACACGTGTCTATAACAGTCACATGACACACACGTGTCTAAAACAGTCACATGACACACACGTGTCTATAACAGTCACATGACACACACGTGTCTATAACAGTCACATGACACATATATGTTTCTATAACAGTCACATGACACACACGTGTCTAAAACAGTCACATGACACATATATGTTTCTATAACAGTCACATGACACACACGTGTCTATAACAGTCACATGACACACACGTGTCTATAACAGTCACATGACACACACGTGTCTATAACAGTCACATGACACACACGTGTCTATAACAGTCACATGACACACACGTGTCTAAAACAGTCACATGACACACACGTGTCTATAACAGTCACATGACACACACGTGTCTATAACAGTCACATGACACACACGTGTCTATAACAGTCACATGACACATATATGTGTGAAATGTACAAAACCATTTTTGGCAGTTAAAAAACATGTTTTTGTTGTTCAGGATTTTTCCGGAGCTGTTTCCTCGCTACATCCGAGCTCCCAGTGACTCAGACTCTAAAGCTGTGGAGCATCTTTATAAAGGTGTGGTCCATGTTTAGTCCAGAAGCCCACTCTCTTCTGTGTAGCTGTAAATCCAACATGTCCGTGTTCTCGACAGATGATAAGATGTTGAACCTGTCGGTGACGTTGATGCGCTCTCAGAACGACTCGGGCCAGGTGCAGGAGTGGTGGATCGTGAGCCAGACTGAACCAGGACCTCTGGACAAGAGAGGGGCCAAGAAGAAGCTGGACGCTGGTCTGGACGTCTATGTGTTTAGCGACCAAGTCAGTCCCCCCAGTCTGGGCTTCCTGGCGGGATACGGGTGAGTGCGGAGTCCCCACTGTCATTCATGCATGAAGCCCCGTTTCCAACAGCCCTAGGTCCCACTTGGCCCTACTCTGCTTTACCCTACCCTACTCTACCCTACCCTACCCTACTCTACCCTACCCTACCCTACCCTACCCTACCCTAGCCTACCCTACCCTACTCTACCCTACCCTACCCTACTCTACCCTACCCTACCCTACTCTACTCTACCCTACCCTACCCTACCCTACCCTACCCTACTCTACTCTACTCTACTCTACTCTACTTTCTTAGTACCTGCTCGGCCCTGGTTCGTTCCAGTCCGTGCTGGTACTAAAGTGTTCTAATTAACAAGGATTGGTCAGAGTTTTCCGTGTACTGGTTCGTTGTGGGCAGGTTGCTAGGATACCGCACTAGATACTACCAGCGTAATGGAAACGCAGGTGGTAGCGCTGAGTGAGGCTGATAGAAACAGGGCTCTTCATCCATAGACCGTACACGCACAATGCTAATCCGCTAGCTTAATGTAGCCTCACGGGGGAAGTGCTCTTGTAAAAGTAAACTGCTCTAGCTCAGTAACCGTTAGTGTCACACTCACAATGTTGGGCTTAAAAATATTTTAGTTTAGCGCTCTCTATAATCCTGGGGTTTATGTGTTCATATTGTCTTTGTACATCCAGATATGAGCCTTAAAGACCTTATGACGGGTTTGATTTATTTAGGAATACAGTTTTAATACCATTTTATATTAGAAGAGAACTACTAAAGGTTTCAAAATCAGTTTTTTTTGTCTGATCCCCCCAAATCGAAATAACCCCATAGCAACGCCCTTAGAAACGAAAAAACTTCACAGCCCTTGGTGACGTCAGAGTGGGTACGTTTCAACGCTGTAAGTTGTTTACAATTTGGTATTCGTTCTTTTTTCGCGGATATTCAAGATGACAAGGCCGTGTACAGCGAGTGTGAGATAAATACTACATTATAACTCTTCATCAGCATTGAGATAGTCCAGTGGTTGTGTCGATGGACTGTCAATCCAGATACTGGGGTTCAAATCCCACCTCAGACACATTTTCACACTCAAACTGCAATTTATGTGTAGTGAGCAATTGTCACCTGTAGAGGGCAGTATTGTGTTGGGCATCAGTGGAGAGAAGAGAGAAAAGGCAGTCCTGTGGCATAGATCCATGGTTTTCAATGCATGGACGTAACCCACTATGACGTCACACACAGGTTAGAGCATAGACAGCTTCAATTTATGAAAAACACATTCTTTTTATAAAATATAGGATTTTTTTTGCCGGAATATCTTTCAAATTGACATTGTCATGCAATTTTGATATCCACTATTTTTTTTTTTTTAAACCCGTCATAAGGTCTTTAACAAGTGGCCTATCTTTTCATTGTCAATAATGGAATAAAACAAAAGCCCTTGTGTCTCTGCAGCATCATGGGCCTGTACGCCTCCGTGGTCCTCGTCATCGGGAAGTTTGTGCGAGAGTTCTTCAGCGGGATTTCTCACACCATCATGTTCGAGGAGCTTCCCAACGTGGACCGCATCCTCAAGCTCTGCACGGACATCTTTCTGGTCCGAGAAACCGGAGAGCTGGACCTGGAGGAGGACATGTACTCCAAGCTCATCTTCCTCTACCGCTCGCCCGAAACCATGATCAAGTGGACTCGCGAAAAAACAGAGTGAAAATACCTTTTTTTGGTAGACATTTGTCGCACAATCACGAGCTAACGAGTCAACCACAAGATTCAATAAACAGGTTGGCCTTTTGGAAACCCACTATTCAGATGCAATCACTTGAAAAGACAGTATTCTCGTAGCGGCCACAGATTTGTTGGATTTCAATGGAAGTCATTCAAGATGGCCGCCAATGGACCTCTTACTCTAACAGGTACATCAAGCCAGTGTTTGAGAATCCAAGCCATGTATTAAGAAGAAACTAGTAATCTAAAATGAACTCATATCACTAGATGGATTTTATCGGAGTATTTGGTCTTGTTAAGGTGGTATTTATCTACAGAGGTCAATAAATGAATGAGCCCAAGAGCGATCCATTTGAAAGTCTTCCATAAAGCAATGGATCTGGATGGATCATTTTATCAATGCAAGATGGCTGCTCACGCTATTCCAAAGACGTATATCATGAAGCAATGCTTGACATGACTGTATTGTAGTATTTTATGAGTGCTAGATTCATTACAATGGATTATTTGGTCAATTCAAGATGGCAGCAGGTCTATCAAGGCCAAACTTTATTTACGAAAACAATCACAAAAAACTGTTTTCACACCTCGATCAATGCAAGATCTCTGGGTTCGAGCGGCCATTTGGAGAACTTTTGGCGATTCAAACTATACAATTTTTGGTTAAGACGTCTTCTTGAACAATCCTGAAACTCAAGAAGCTGCTGACCGGTGGATCCATTATTTCTCGGCCCTGTTTTTGTCGTTTCTTGTTTCGCGCAAACGCACAGAGAGTCTGCGGACACCTCGGCGCTTGGATTTCACCGGAAAACTCACGGATCCAAGATGGCGGCTGCCAAAGGTCATCCCAAAGGTACCGTTTTACACCTGACACCTTTGCTCCACGGACTTTTATGGAACTACAACACAAGGGCTTCCCAACTATCGTTTTTCAATGAGCACAATCTCAGACGAACTCACTTTGTCCAACTGGAAAATGCAAAGGATTATGGGGGATGTGCAATAGTGACACTGCAGAAATGGGAACTTTTTTCTTTTTGTGTTTTTTTTTTTTAACACAAACTTGCATATCTTTCTCAGGAAGAGTGGAACGCAGATATCACTGTACTGGAAATATGAGAATGCTCGTCATGTAGGGTCGGACGGACTGTAGAAGATGTGTTTATCGTGGCATGACTTTGTGGACATTAAGTTTTATGAGGACCAGAGATGGACTGTTTCAGACTGGACTTACACAGGATCATAGTGTCGAAGGGAAAATGCATTTGTAACAACGGGTTTAGAGTCAAACATTAGCAAAGTCCATGGATAACAAAGAAAAAAAAGGCTTTAATTATGGATACTTACTACTTACTTTTAATTCAATGTATTTGTGTTCCGCCCTAAATCACAACAGCAGTCGTCTCGGAGGACTTAACAAAGTTTTGCCAACAACAGATTAGAGAATCAAAGGAGATGGAGAGTGGGAAGATCACTGTCCAGAAAGGTTAATAAAAAAGTCAATTAATAACAGCGAGGAACCTGTAGACCCAGGACTGAGGCTGTAGACCCAGGACTGAGGCTGTAGACCCAGGACTGAGGCTGTAGACCCAGGACTGAGGCTGTAGACCCAGGACTGAGGCTGTAGACCCAGGACTGAGGCTGTAGACCCAGGACTGAGGCTGTAGACCCAGGACTGAGGCTGTAGACCCAGGACTGAGGCTGTAGATCCAGGACTGAGGCTGTAGACCCAGGACTGAGGCTGTAGACCCAGGACTGAGACTGTAGACCCAGGACTGAGGCTGTAGACCCAGGACTGAGGCTTTAGACCCAGGACTGAGACTGTAGATCCAGGACTGAGGCTGTAGACCCAGGACTGAGACTGTAGACCCAGGACTGAGGCTGTAGATCCAGGACTGAGGCTGTAGACCCAGGACTGAGGCTGTAGACCCAGGACTGAGACTGTAGACCCAGGACTGAGGCTGTAGACCCAGGACTGAGGCTGTAGATCCAGGACTGAGACTGTAGATCCAGGACTGAGGCTGTAGACCCAGGACTGAGACTGTAGACCCAGGACTGAGGCTGTAGATCCAGGACTGAGGCTGTAGACCCAGGACTGAGGCTGTAGACCCAGGACTGAGACTGTAGACCCAGGACTGAGGCTGTAGACCCAGGACTGAGGCTGTAGACCCAGGACTGAGGCTGTAGATCCAGGACTGAGGCTGTAGACCCAGGACTGAGACTGTAGACCCAGGACTGAGGCTGTAGATCCAGGACTGAGGCTGTAGATCCAGGACTGAGGCTGTAGACCCAGGACTGAGGCTGTAGACCCAGGACTGAGACTGTAGACCCAGGACTGAGGCTGTAGACCCAGGACTGAGGCTGTAGACCCAGGACTGAGGCTGTAGATCCAGGACTGAGGCTGTAGACCCAGGACTGAGACTGTAGACCCAGGACTGAGGCTGTAGATCCAGGACTGAGGCTGTAGACCCAGGACTGAGGCTGTAGACCCAGGACTGAGACTGTAGACCCAGGACTGAGGCTGTAGACCCAGGACTGAGGCTGTAGATCCAGGACTGAGACTGTAGATCCAGGACTGAGCTGTAGACCCAGGACTGAGGCTGTAGACCCAGGACTGAGACTGTAGACCCAGGACTGAGGCTGTAGACCCAGGACTGAGGCTGTAGACCCAGGACTGAGGCTGTAGATCCAGGACTGAGGCTGTAGATCCAGGACTGAGGCTGTAGATCCAGGACTGAGGCTGTAGATCCAGGACTGAGGCTGTAGACCCAGGACTGAGGCTGTAGACCCAGGACTGAGGCTGTAGACCCAGGACTGAGGCTGTAGACCCAGGACTGAGGCTGTAGACCCAGGACTCAGGCTGTAGACCCAGGACTGAGGCTGTAGACCCAGGACTGAGGCTGTAGATCCAGGACTGAGACTGTAGATCCAGGACTGAGGCTGTAGACCCAGGACTGAGACTGTAGACCCAGGACTGAGGCTGTAGACCCAGGACTGAGGCTGTAGACCCAGGACTGAGGCTGTAGACCCAGGACTGAGACTGTAGACCCAGGACTGAGGCTGTAGACCCAGGACTGAGGCTGTAGACCCAGGACTGAGGCTGTAGACCCAGGACTGAGACTGTAGACCCAGGACTGAGGCTGTAGACCCAGGACTGAGGCTGTAGACCCAGGACTGAGGCTGTAGATCCAGGACTGAGGCTGTAGATCCAGGACTGAGGCTGTAGATCCAGGACTGAGGCTGTAGATCCAGGACTGAGGCTGTAGATCCAGGACTGAGGCTGTAGATCCAGGACTGAGGCTGTAGACCCAGGACTGAGGCTGTAGACCCAGGACTGAGGCTGTAGACCCAGGACTGAGGCTGTAGACCCAGGACTCAGGCTGTAGACCCAGGGTTCCATTCCACCTCCAGACGTGGCCTTTCTGTGAGCAGTTTGCGTGGTCTGAGCAGGTTTCCTCCGGGTGCTCCAGTGTTCCCTACCGCTAAAAACATGGGCCTCCTGGTGGTGACCCCGCTTCAAATTGGATTTTCTATTTTTTGTCATGAAATACTAAATATCAGATGACAATTATTAGGTGGACTTTAGTTTGAGTTTGTTTTTGCCCCGATGCACTATTATTCTGTTGTTATAAATGCATTTTACTTAAAGGAAAAGCTTTATAAACAAACTGTAAGATCGAATAAACACATATGAAATAGAAGAAAACCGCATGTGTCCATCGCAGAGAGGGCTGTCGTGGTCCACACTGGAACTATGATGGTTACTCCACTACATGTAAATAGACTTTGAGGAGAACGGTCTGGAAGCAGAAGGGTCAAACTGGTTCTCAAAGGGCCAGAGAGACTGCAGGTTTTCACTCCAACCAAGAAGACTCCACCCATTTCCTCAGTGAGCTCAGTCTAAAGCTGAGGACTTGTGGAAATGGGTGTCTGGTCAAGCCACTGGTCTCTCCAAGATGTCTGCCACTGGTCTCTCCAAGATGTCTGCCCCTGGTCTCTCCAAGATGTCTGCCCCTGGTCTCTCCAAGATGTCTGCCACTGGTCTCTCCAAGATGTCTGCCCCTGGTCTCTCCAAGATGTCTGCCACTGGTCTCTCCAAGATGTCTGCCACCGGTCCCTCCAAGATGTCTGCCACTGGTCTCTCCAAGATGTCTGCCCCTTCAGATCACAATTCATGCTCCGACCATGGACGTCAGACACCAGAGAGAGAGAATCGAGAGAGATCAGAGAAAGAACAGAGAGAAACCAGAGAGGAACCAGACAGAGACGTGTGAGCATTCTGACTAGAGCGAGCCAACATTTTTGCACAATAGTGTGTGGATTTATAGATAACTGATGGATTTGATAAAGTTAAAAATGACAAGAAACACTAAAATCCACCAAATCCTTCTTTGTGAACGCTGCAGTTCTCTGTCTCTGAGGACGAGGCGTGTGGATTTCAGCTGCAGTACCGACGGTGGCCTCTAGTCTGTGTGGATTAAAGCAGCTGCAGACAATATACATGCTTGAGTCTGGTGAGCTCCTGCTTGGTTGGAATGAAAACCTCCTGGAACCAGTTTGACGCCTCGGTCTGAAGAGAATGAAATGTGAAATTATAAGAAAGTCAAAGAAGTGTTTTCAAATGTACTGAAATTGCATTTATCTGATGTTTTACTGCGGACGTCGGAGCAGGTGGAAACTGTTATTTATTAAAAGATAAAAGATTGTTTTAAAAGTGCTTCGTGTCGAGTGTGTTTTATTTTTGGAGGTGAGTTTATGTGAGTCTGTCCTGTGCACACCAGGGAGAGACCAGAGACCTGAGAGAAAGACCAGGGAGAGACCAGAGACCTGAGAGAAAGACCAGGGAGAGACCAGAGACCTGAGAGAAAGACCAGGGAGAGACCAGAAACCTGAGAGAAAGACCAGGGAGAGACCAGAGAGAAAGACCAGGGAGAGACCAGAGACCTGAGAGAAAGACCAGGGAGAGACCAGAGACCTGAGAGA